CTAATTTGGGAAGGTATTTAAAAGTAGGAAATCAAAGGCTAATAAAGAAATGAGCAAGGTGATCAAAGCAACAAAATTTTCAAGCAATGTTAAATAGGATATCAGATTGGAAGGAGGGAGTATGGAGGAACTGAGTGTATCTCGATATCTGTTAGTGAACATCTTGGCAGTTACGTTTTTGAACCATAGAACATATGAAGGGAAGAAAGGTAGGTGGAGTATTGAGACATCTGTGGAGAGAGGGAAGTTTATGTAAGGAGACAAAATAAAGAATGTACCACAGTACAGTGGTGCTAACCTCTTTTACATGAAAAAGGCACAGACTTTACATATTGCAAAGAGGAGGTTTGTGGCAGTGGAGATGTCATGTTTGAGTAAAATGTGTGGTTTGAATATTATGCAAAAAAATTGAAGTGCAGAAATTAAAGATGGTGTGGAGTTTCAAAAGATATTTTTCAGAGAACAGAAGAGAGGTTGTTGACGTGGTGTGGGTATTTAGAGTGATGGAGCAAAACAGGATGCAAAAGGGTGTATAAATCTGGGCTAGAAGAAAGGAGGGATAAGTGATGTCCCAAAATGGGTTGGAGGAAGGAGTGATGGAGGTTGCAACTGATAGTAAATGTTTTCTTCATTGAGTCCCACTACCTAGGTGAGACAACTGATGTGGTAAAAAAAATATATATACCAAAATCTTTTACCATCAGTGTATACTCTTCAACCTACCTATCAATCACTTCCTCTTTATGATTCATAATGTCTTGTATCAGTATTATAATCAATATCATCGTAGCTTAAATCAATATACTCTTCCTCTCCTAGTCTTTCTTCAGCCTCCACATCCTTATTCTGGCCTTGCATCTCTTCCTTTCCTTGTATCTCTTCTACTTCCTCTCCCTTGTCCTCTTCTCCTTGTTTGTCTTCCTGTTTCTCTTCTTCGTTACCACTGTGTGAATCATCTTCATCTGATTCATCACTTTCAGAGCTCTCTTCATGCCCAGATTCACCAGTATTTCTCAACAAAGCAAATGCTGCATTTTCATCGACAAACTGTTCAATGAAATCTCTCTTGATATCTGATTTGACGGAGTAATTTGCCTGAAATGCAAATAAAAATTAAATTACAAACTGAATATCCATCTGTACGTACACACACAAAAAATGAACACATCAGAGTAACAAGAACTTATTTTCATACATTTCAGTTTCAAATTATGAAATTCCTGTAATATATATATAATATATCAACCTACAGTGCAGTACTGTGAAAAAATTTATGAAAATTAAACAGGAGCAAAAGACAGCAGACAACATTTAATTTAAAATAAATGTGTGTGAGAGACACGCATGAGATAACTGAGACATTTGTAGGTGATACTTTTCACACACCAAAGACTTCTTCAGTCCAATCCAGCTCAGTTACTGGACTGAAGAAGCCCCTGGAGGGTGAAACATGTCCCCATTATACTTGTACACTTGTCTTTCTCACACACTTGTCAATATTAATCACGAATAAAGTAAAAACTCTACTTACTTCAGTCAAGACATCCTCCACCTGCTCCATTTCTGCCTGTGGTGCTTCTGAAACTACTAGCATGTCCTGGATAGTCTTACTGTGTGAACACTTGTAACACAAGAGTGTTGTTTCTGTGTTGTGACCAAAACACTTGCACTCCTGGCACTCTGGAGCACTGCTGCTTGCAGCCACACGAAGACTTAGCACTCGGAAGAATTTTTTTGCAGCTTCCTGCAGAAGAAAATATTGGCTTATTAAGTATGTGACTGATCAGACATTTACGTTTACTATTTAGGGAATATTTTTATGTTACTTGGGATTCCTACATCCTTTAGGGGGGTCAAACTCTAAGTGGGGTTCCTTGATGCCAGTGAAGAGCTCTTTAAAAATAAAGTCACAATACCGTGGCTGGAAAAAAGTGATGATACTGTGGCTGGAACAAAAGTGACAATACCGTGGCTGGAACAAAGTGACAATACCGTGGCTGGAGCATAAGTCATAATGCCATGGCTGGAACAAATCATCAATAACCCATACATAAGAGGGGTAACTTATGGAGATGTTTCAGTGTGTCCTGGGTCAGTATCAGTCTCCGACAGACTGAAACACCGTCATATGTTTCCTAAGTGTGGGTTATTTAAGTTTAATCTTTATGGTTGAGCGGTACAATATGTGTTCATTGCAAATATGAATGTCCATTTATTATGGTCTCTGTATATTTAGAAAGAAAACTGTCACTGACATTACAATGAAAAATTTATGGGCATGGTTACCCATCAAGAATGTACAGGCACTCCTTGAGTTATGATGGTTGACTTATGATATTTTGACTTTATGATGGTACAAAAGTAATTACTTTGGAGATGAAATCTGAGATAATTACCCAGCATGAAGGCGGCAAGTCCGTAAATGGTATTCATTTATTTACTTTTCAATACTGGTATTTATTTACAGTAGTTATTTGTTTCTTTACTTATTTAGTGACAGTAGTTATTTATTTACTTATTTATATGTCACATATTCATATTAGACTTACGATACTTCCAGTTTACACTGAGTTTGTTGGAACATTACACCACTGTAAGTCGAATACCACCTGTATGTAATTTGAGATTTTCGACAGAGTCAGTTTGTTATTTTTTTTTTTTATTATCACATTGGCCGATTCCCACCAAGGCAGGGTGGCCCGAAAAAGAAAAACTTTCACCATCATTCACTCCATCACTGTCTTGCCAGAAGGGTGCTTTACACTACAGTTTTTAAACTGCAACATAAACACCCCTCCTTCAGAGTGCAGGCACTGGACTTCCCATCTCCAGGACTCAAGTCCGGCCTGCCGGTTTCCCTGAACCCCTTCATAAATGTTACTTTGCTCACACTCCAACAGCACGTCAAGTATTAAAAACCATTTGTCTCCATTCACTCCTATCAAACACGCTCACGCATGCCTGCTGGAAGTCCAAGCCCCTCACACACAAAACCTCCTTTACCCCCTCCCTCCAACCTTTCCTAGGCCGACCCCTACCCCGCCTTCCTTCCACCATAGACTGATACACTCTTGAAGTTATTCTGTTTCGCTCCATTCTCTCCACATGTCCGAACCACCTCAACAACCCTTCCTCAGCCCTCTGGACAACAGTTTTGGTAATCCCGCACCTCCTCCTAACTTCCAAACTACAAATTCTCTGCACTATATTCACACCACACATTGCTCTCAGACATGACATCTCCACTGCCTCCAGCCTTCTCCTCGCTGCAACATTCATTACCCATGCTTCACACCCATATAAGAGTGTTGGTAAAACTATACTCTCATACATTCCCCTCTTTGCCTCCAAGGACAAAGTTCTTTGTCTCCACAGACTCCTAAGTGCACCACTCACACCTTTTCCCCTCATCAATTCTATGATTCACCTCATCCTTCATAGACCCATCTGCTGACACGTCCACTCCCAAATATCTGAATACATTCACCTCCTCCATACTCTCTCCCTCCAATCTGATATCCAATCTTCATCACCTAATCTTTTTGTTATCCTCATAACCTTACTCTTTCCTGTATTCACTTTCAATTTTCTTCTTTTGCACACCCTACCAAATTCATCCACCAATCTCTGCAACTTCTCTTCAGAATCTCCCAAGAGCACAGTGTCATCAGCAAAGAGCAACTGTGACAACTCCCACTTTGTGTGTGATTCTTTATCTTTTAACTCCACGCCTCTTGCCAAGACCCTCGCATTTACTTCTCTTACAACCCCATCTATAAATATATTAAACAACCACGGTTACATCACACATCCTTGTCTAAGGCCTACTTTTACTGGGAAATAATTTCCCTCTTTCCTACATACTCTAACTTGAGCCTCACTATCCTCGTAAAAACTCTTCACTGCTTTCAGTAACCTACCTCCTACACCATACACCTGCAACATCTGCCACATTGCCCCCCTATCCACCCTGTCATACGCCTTTTCCAAATCCATAAATGCCACAAAGACCTCTTTAGCCTTATCTAAATACTGTTCACTTATATGTTTCACTGTAAACACCTGGTCCACACACCCCCTACCTTTCCTAAAGCCTCCTTGTTCATCTGCTATCCTATTCTCCGTCTTACTCTTAATTCTTTCAATAATAACTCTACCATACACTTTGCCAGGTATACTCAACAGACTTATCCCCCTATAATTTTTGCACTCTCTTTTATCCCCTTTGCCTTTATACAAAGGAACTATGCATGCTCTCTGCCAATCCCTAGGTACCTTACCCTCTTCCATACATTTATTAAATAATTGCACCAACCACTCCAAAACTATATCCCCACCTGCTTTTAACATTTCTCATCTTTATCCCATCAATCCCGGCTGCCTTACCCCTTTCATTTTACCTACTGCCTCACGAACTTCCCCCACACTCACAACTGGCTCTTCCTCACTCCCACAAGATGTTGTTCCTCCTTGCCCTATACACGAAATCACAGCTTCCCTATCTTCATCAACATTTAACAATTCCTCAAAATATTCCCTCCATCTTCCCAATACCTCTAACTCTCCATTTAATAACTCTCCTCTCCTATTTTTAACTGACAAATCCATTTGTTCTCTAGGCTTTCTTAACTTGTTAATCTCACTCCAAAACTTTTTCTTATTTTCAACAAAATTTGTTGATAACATCTCACCCACTCTCTCATTTGCTCTCTTTTTACATTGCTTCACCACTCTCTTAACCTCTCTCTTTTTCTCCATATACTCTTCCCTCCTTGCATCACTTCTACTTTGTAAAAACTTCTCATATGCTAACTTTTTCTCCCTTACTACTCTCTTTACATCATTATTCCACCAATCGCTCCTCTTCCCTCCCGCACCCACTTTCCTGTAACCACAAACTTCTGCTGAACACTCTAACACTACATTTTTAAACCTACCCCATACCTCTTCGACCCCATTGCCTATGCTCTCATTAGCCCATCTATCCTCCAATAGCTGTTTATATCTTACCCAAACTGCCTCCTCTTTTAGTTTATAAACCTTCACCTCTCTCTTCCCTGATGCTTCTATTCTCCTTGTATCCCATCTACCTTTTACTCTCATAAGAACATAAGAACATAAGAACGAAGGAACACTGCAGAAGGCCTACTGGCCCATGCGAGGCAGGTCCAAGTCCCTACCGGCTTAAGCCAATGCACCCAACCTAGTCAGGTCAGGTCACATTGACTTAAGGGAGGAACACGGCAACCGACCTGTTAGCACAAGCTATCAGGTCCAACTCACACCCACCCACATCTACTCATGTATTTATCCAACCTATTTTTAAAGCTACACAACGTTCTGGCCTCTATAACTGTACTTGGGAGTTTGTTCCACTCATCCACAACTCTATTACCAAACCAGTACTTTCCTATATCCCTCCTGAATCTGAATTTTTCCAACTTAAAACCATTGCTGCGAGTCCTGTCTAGGCTAGATATTTTCAGCACACTATTTACATCCCCTTTATTTATTCCTGTCTTCCACTTATAAACCTCAATCATATCCCCCCTAATTCTACGTCTTTCTAGAGAGTGCAGTTTCAGGGCCCTTAGTCTATCCTCATAGGGAAGGTTTCTGATACATGGGATCATCTTTGTCATCCTCCTTTGTACATTTTCCAGAGAATTTATATCCATTCTGTAATACGGTGACCAAAACTGTGCAGCATAATCTAAATGAGGCCTAACCAAGGATGTATAGAGTTGAAGAACAACCTGAGGACTCCTATTATTTATGCTTCTTGATATGAAGCCAAGGATTCTATTAGCTTTATTGCGAACACTTATGCACTGTTGTCTTGGTTTCAGATTACTGCTAACCAGAACTCCTAAATCTTTTTCGCAATCCGTAATATTAAGATCTACATTATTTAGTTTATATGTGGCATGGTTATTGTCCTGTCCAACATTTAGAACTTTGCATTTGTCTATATTAAACTGCATCTGCCACTTCTCCGACCACTGCATCAGTCCTATTCAAATCTTCCTGGAGTGCTCGAATGTCCTCGTCAGAATGAATTCGACGGCCTATTTTGGTGTCATCGGCAAACTTGCCGATGTCGCTCTTTATGCCCTCATCTATGTCGTTTATGTAGATTGTGAACAGCAGGGGGCCCAACACTGACCCCTGTGGAACACCGCTCGTGACGCTTCCCCACTCTGATTTCTCCCCATTTATGCAAACTCTCTGCTGCCTATTTGTCAACCATGCCTCTATCCAGGAAAAAATTTCTCCTCCTATTCCATGTGCTTTAATTTTCCTCAATAGTCTCTGATGTGGGACCCTGTCAAAAGCCTTACTGAAGTCCATATACACAATATCATATTCATTACCATGATCTACCTCCTCAAATACCCCTCTATAAACATGTACATCCTGAAGTCTACTCAACAGTCTTTTATCTACCAATACATAATCCAACAAAATACTGTCATTTTCGCCCTACATCATATCTTGTATACTTATTTATCCTCTTTTTCTTAAAATATGTATTACCTATAGCTAAACCCCTTTCTATACAAAGTTCAATCAAAGGGCTCCCATTATCATTTACACCTGGTACCCCAAACTTACCTACCACACCCTCTCTAAAAGTTTCTCCTACTTTAGCATTCAGGTCCCCTACCACAATTACTCTCTCACTTGGTTCAAAGGCTCCTATACATTCACTTAACATCTCCCAAAATCTCTCTCTCTCCTCTGCATTCCTCTCTTCTCCAGGTGCATACACGCTTATTATGACCCACTTCTCGCATCCAACCTTTACTTTAATCCACATAATTCTTGAATTTACACATTCATATTCTCTTTTCTCCTTCCATAACTGATCATTCAACATTACTGCTACCCCTTCCTTTGCTCTCTCAGATACTCCAGATTTAATCCCATTTATTTCCCCCCACCGAAACTCCCCTACCCCCTTCAGCTTTGTTTCGCTTAGGGCCAGGACATCCAACTTCTTTTCATTCATAACATCAGCAATCATCTGTTTCTTGTCATCCGCACTACATCCACACACATTTAAGCATCCCAGTTTTATAAAGTTTTTCTTCTTCTCTTTTTTAGTAAATGTCTACAGGAGAAGGGGTTACTAGCCCATTGCTCCCGGCATTTTAGTCGCCTCATACGACACGCATGGCTTACGGAGGAAAGATTCTTTTCCACTTCCCCATGGACAATAGAAGAAATAAAGAGGAACAAGAGCTATTTAGAAAAAGGAGAAAAACCTAGATGTATGTATATATATATGCATGTGTGTGTCTGTGAAGTGTGACCAAAGTGTAAGTAGGAGTAGCAAGATATCCCTGTTATCTAGCGTGTTTATGAGACAGAAAAAGAAACCAGCAATCCTACCATCATGCAAAACAGTTACAGGTTTCTGTTTCACAGTCATCTGGCAGGATGGTAGTACTTCCCTGGGTGGTTGCTGTCTACCAACCTACTACCTATTGTCTACCAACCTACTACCTAATTATCACAATTACAGACATCCTTAAACATCACACAAGATTACTAAATAAATTGTATGTCCCTTCCATGATGTGATGTCAACAAACCATACTGATATACAATCATAAAATGACTGAGAATAGAGATACTACTAAAATAAAAACACAAAGATATTTGTTTAAAATATATATATATATATTTTTTAAAGATTTTATCATAGATTAAGGCTCAAATGCAATCTAATCCATTTTCCCTTGCCCCTTTCACATGCTCAGGATGGCTGGGTAGATAATAGAATATTAGAGGCCTTTTTAAAAACTGAGTTTGTCTTGTTCACACAAATAAAGGTATGCTATGTAAAAAATAAAATGTCACAGAAGGCCTTTATTTTGAACACATCATACAGCTATCATGTGTAACAGAAACAAGACATAGTACTTACGTTATTGTTGGTGATCCACTTGTTTATGTTAAAAACTGAACCACCAGATGCCTGGGCAGCCACGACACATGAACCTTCAGGTTCCTGGAGAGCTGCACGAAGCTTCTCAGTGCCAGTGAATTTCTTGATATCTAAAAGGTTAGCAAAGAGCAAATAAAGTAAAACATTAAAAGTTTATAAGAAACTTTTAAAACATGTAACATGCAAGTAACAAATAACATGAATTGTTGCAGTATAAGATGACTCCATCAAGAGAGGGAACACTACAAGTTAAAATGGTGTATGTTGCTTGTTCAGCATTTTCTTTGTGCTAGTTATATTCTTAGGTTTGTTAATAGCTAACTAGCATTCTGACCATGGAGTAGGTCATGTCACCCTGAGGCATGTACAACCACTCCCCAAAGAAAATGGCATCACTTGAAGAGACAACACTGAACTTGTATTGAGTACTAGGTGCTGCAGATAGGAAGAAAAACAGTATAAAATATGGCTGTGGAGGAGGGAGGTTTGGAGAAGAGATGTGACAAATCAAAGACAGAGAAGTCATGTAAGAGAAATTTTAGAGCAATCAATTAATATATAAACCAATGAGACCCCACAATGCTAAAAAGTTGGCAAAAATTTGAGAAAAGTTTTTTTAAACACAATTCCCACTACTTTCTGAGGAATGGAAAAAGTAAATCTGCTCACTATCTGCGTAGAGGCAGAGACTGAAGAGAGCTACACTGACAAAATCACCAGCAGCCAAAGCATAAACTTTGCAGCTATAGATGAAATGAGCATTTGGTAAAGCAGAAGCATGTAGTACCAAGAAGCACCCTGCCTCAAGTGGGACTGGAGCTTCAGGAGGTTTAAGACTTAGAAACAAAAACACCAAAAGGTATCTAACTACGAGGTTCATGAAAAGTATGAACCCGAGATTAAGCAAGTAATGAAGTCTTTTTCTGTCTCATGAACATGCAAGATTTCAGGTATGTCTTGCTACTTCTACTTACACTTAGGTCACACTACACATACATGTACAAGCACACATATACACACCCCTCTGGGTTTTCTTCTATATTCTTTCTAGTTCTTATTCTTGTTTATTTCCTCTTATCTCCATGGGGAAGTGGAACAGAATTCTTCCTCCGTAAGCCATTCGTGTTGTAAGAGGCGACTAAAGTACTGGGAGCAAGGGGCTAGTATCAGTCTGTAGTGGAAGGAAGGCGGGGTAGGGGTCGGTCTAGGAAAGGTTGGAGGGAGGGGGTAAAGGAGGTTTTGTGTGCGAGGGGCTTGGACTTCCAGCAGGCATGCGTGAGTGTGTTTGATAGGAGTGAATGGAGACAAATGGTTTTTAATACTTGACGTGCTGTTGGAGTGTGAGCAAAGTAACATTTATGAAGGGATTCAGGGAAACTGGCAGGTTGGACTTGAGTCCTGGAGATGGGAAGTACAGTGCCTGCACTCTGAAGGAGGGGTGTTAATGTTGCAGTTTAAAAACTGTAGTGTAAAGCACCCTTCTGGCAAGACAGTGATGGAGCGAATGATGGTGAAAGTTTTTCTTTTTCGGGCCACCCTGCCTTGGTGGGAATCGGCCAGTGTGTTAATAATAATAAAAATAAAAAAAAAGGAGAAACTTTCGTTTTTCCTTTTGGGCCACCCCGCCTTGGTGGGATACGGCCGGTGTGTTGAAAGAAAGAGAGAACATCCTTCCAAATATTACTCTACATAAAATCAAATACAGGTCGGCCATCACTAGTCCGGCAATCAGTTATTGGGTTCCATCAGTAATCCAGTACTAATTTCGGTTAGCATAATTTCAAATTTCATCATTATACTGACTCAGATCATTATACTGATTCAAATTTCATCTTTATACTACTCAGAAATTGTACAGATGGTTGTAAATCCACAGCAGCAAGCCAGTGGAGGAGAAAGCAGAGAGAGTCTCAACTGATAGGTTGTCAGTTGACAGGTGAACTGCTAAAAGGTCTAGAGCAACACAGTTTTATAAGTGAACAAGAAATAATTAATGTTTACATGCTGCAGGATAAACTAATCAAAGAAAGTCCAAAATATAAGTGTATTCTAACCTAACCACTCTGTAATCCAGCAAACTCACTGATCCACCACACAACAAGTCCCAATAATGCCGGATTAGTGATGGCCGACCTGTACTCAGCTTATGAACATGGGTTGTTTAATATTCCAAACTTTACTAAGACACCACTTGACGTATGCCATCACAATAACAAGAATGATCCATCACTTAGGGAAAACTGTTACTTAAAAAAATCTAGAATATGAAAAGATGGTAAACAAAATATTTAGAATATTACATGTGCAGCCTCTCATTTAACGATGGAGTTCCGTTCCTAAGAGTAGGTCAGTAAGTGAATTGGTCGTTAAGTGAGGAGCATACTGTACTGGTGGTGGGTTTGTCAACCATTTTTAGATATTTTTTTTAATGTCACCTTTGCACCATTTATAACTTTCTTTTAGAATATTTTTAAATGTTTATACAGTAGCATACTGCATACTGTATTAAACAGAATAGAGGAAATCAGCTCTAATATACATGTACATTATTTAGGTTTGCATACTGGTTGGAAACCTGGTCGTAAATCCGAGTGGTCGATAAACGAGTACGTTGCTAAGTCAGGAGAGGCTGTACTTTACAACAATACTGACAATTGGAAAATATAAGCAAAACTTACAAAATAAGAACTAGGACAACTTCAAAGAATAGTATAGTTACCTTTTGGTGTATAGACAAACTTTTCATCAAATCCTATTAATTTGATGGCCATAGCAGCACTCTTCTTTTTATCTGGTCCTTGCATAATAACCTTGAACTTAGTGATAAGATGGAATACGACATCATTTAAGTGCAGAGCTTCTAGTACAGCATCACCCTCATCACATGCTCGACATGACATCTGCATAATGCTGCGAGAAACTCCTACTCTCCACCTGTCAGAGAAATTTGATTACTCAATTAAATTTTTTTATTTAGCAAAATTGAAATACTTTGTCATGTACTGCTAGCCTATTCTATATGGCATAGTTACTCTTCTATATGGCATAGTTACTCATTGGGAACAATAGTTTTTGAATAGATCTCTTCATGGGAAAGAGGGATGAGGTTCAAACTGGATTGTCTCACATCTCCCTAGAGCTATATGACATTTACGAGTTTAATGGTTTTCCATTAAAAATAGCAACAATAATAATAGCAAGGAGGCTTTAGTGTAAGTAGGGGATGTGTAGATTAAGTGTTTACATTGAAGCATATATGTGAACAGTAGGTAGGGAAGTTTTCATTGCATTTATTGTCTTAGAAAAGGCATATGATAGAATAGATAAGGGAATAATGTGGCAGATGCTGCAAGTGTATGGAATAGGTAGTAAGTTACTAAATGCTGCAGAGTTTTTATGAGGACAGTGAGGCTCAGGTTCGGGTATGTAGGAGAGAGGGAGACTACTTCCTTGTAAAAGTAGGTCTTAGACAGGGATGTGTAATGTCACCATGGTTGTTTAATATACATGTATTTATAGATGGGGTTGTAAAAGAAGTAAATGCTAGGGTGTTAGGGAGAGGAGTGGGATTAAATTATGGGGAATCAAATACAAAATGGGAGTTGACACAGTTATTTTTTGCTGATGATACTGTGCTTACGGGAGATTCTAAACAAAAAGTTGCAAAGGTTAGTGGATGAGTTTGGGAGGGTGTGTAAAGGTAAAGAGTTGACAGTAAACATAGATAAGAGTAAGGTGATGAGGGTATCAAACGATTTAGATAAAGAAAAATTGGATATCACACTGGAGAAAGGGAGTATGGAAGAAGTGAATGTTTTCAGATATTTGGGAGTTGACTTGTCAGTGGATGGGTTTATGAAGGATGAGCTTAACCACAGAATTGATGAAGGGAAACAGGTGGGTGGTGCGTTGAGGTATCTGTAGAGACAAAAAACATTACTCATGGAGGCAAAGAAGGGAATGTACAAAAGTATAGTGGTACAAACACTCTTGTATGGGTGTGAAGCTTGGGTTGCAAGTGCTACAGCAAGGAGGCAACTGGAGGCAGTGGAGCTGCCCAGTCTAAGGGCAATGTGTGGTGTAAATATTATTCAGAGAATTCGGAGTGTGGAAAGTAGGAGGAGGTGTGGAGCTACTAAAAGTATAAGTCAGAGGGCTGAAGACGGGTTATTGAGGTAGTTTGGTCATTTAGAGAGAATGGATCAAAGTAGAATAACTTGGAGCGTATAAATCTGTAGGGAAAGGAGGGTGGGGTAGGGGTTGTCCTCAACAAGGTTAGAGGGAGGGGGTAAAGGAGGTTTTATGGGCTAGGGGCTTGGACTTCCAGCATGCATGTGTGAGCGTGTTAGATAGGAGTGAATGGAGTCGAATGGTTTTTAGGAACTGATGAGCTGTTGGAGTGTGAGCAGGGTAATATTTGTGAAGGGATTCAGGGAAACCGGTTAGCTGGACTTGAGTCCTGTAAATGGGAAGTACAATGCCTACACTTTAAAGGAGGAGTTTGGGATATTGGCAGTTTGGAGGGACTTCTAAACTGTCGTATCTGAGCACTTCTGCGAAGACAGTGATTATGTATGAGTGAGGTGAAAGTGTTGAATGATGATGAAAGTATTTTCTTTTTGGAGATTTTTTCTTTCTTTTTGGGTCACCCTGCCTTGGTGGGAGACGACTGACTTGATAAAAAAATAGCAATAGCAATTTTTTTTTTTTTTTCAACAAGTCGGCCATCTCCCACCGAGGCAGGGTGACCCAAAAAAGAAAGAAAATCCCCAAAAAGAAAATGCTTTCATCATCATTCAACACTTTCACCACACTCACACATAATCACTGTTTTTGCAGAGGTGCTCAGAATACAACAGTTTAGAAGCATATACGTATAAAGATACACAACATATCCCTCCAAACTGCCAATATCCCAAACCCCTCCTTTAAAGTGCAGGCATTGTACTTCCCATTTCCAGGACTCAAGTCCGACTATATGAAAACAACCGGTTTCCCTGAATCCCTTCACTAAATATTACCCTGCTCACACTCCAACAGATTGTCAGGTCCCAAGTACCATTCGTCTCCATTCAGTCCTATCTAACATGCTCACGCATGCTTGCTGGAAATCCAAGCCCCTTGCCCACAAAACCTCCTTTACCGCCTCTCTCCAACCCTTTCGAGGACGACTCCTACCTCGCCTTCCTTCCCCTATAGATTTATATGCTTTCCATGTCTTTCTACTTTGATCCATTCTCTCTAAATGACCAAACCACCTCAACAACCCCTCTTCTGCCCTCTGACTAATACTTTTATTAACTCCACACCTTTTCCTAATTTCCACACTCCGAATTTTCTGCATAATATTTACACCACACATTGCCCTTAGACAGGACATCTCCACTGCCTACAACCGTCTCCTCGCTGCTGCATTTACCACCCAAGCTTCACACCCATACAAGAGTGTTGGTACTACTATACTTTCATACATTCCCTTCTTTGCCTCCATAGATAACATTTTTTGACTCCATATATACCTCAATGCACCACTCACCTTTTTTCCCTCATCAATTCTATGATTAACCTCATCCTTCATAAATCCATCCGTTGACACATCAACTCCCAAGTATCTGAAAACATTCACTTCTTCCATACTCCTCCTCCCCAATTTGATATCCAATTTTTCTTTATCTAAATTATTTGATACCCTCATCACCTTACTCTTTTCTATGTTCACTTTCAACTTTCTACCTTTACACACATTCCCAAACTCATCCAATAGCCTTTGCAATTTTTCTTCAGAATCTCCCATAAGCACAGTATCATCAGCAAAAAGTAACTGTGTTAATTCCCATTTTGAATTTGATTACCCATAATTTAATCCCACCCCTCTCCCGAACACCCTAGCATTTACTTCTTTTACAACCCCATCTATAAATATATTAAACAACCATGGTGACATTACACATCCCTGTCTAAGACCTACTTTTACCAGGAAGTAGTCTCCCTCTCTTCTACACACCCTAACCTGAGCCTCACTATCCTCATAAAAACTCTTTACAGCATTTAATAACTTACCACCTATTCCATATACTTGCAACATCTGCCACATTGCTCCCCTATCCACTCTATCATATTCTTCTTTCTTTCAACACACCGGCCGTATCCCACCGAGGCGGGGTGGCCCAAAAGGAAAAACGAAAGTTTCTCCTTTTACATTTAGTAATATATACAGGAGAAGAGGTTACTAGCCCCTTGCTCCCGGCATTTTAGTCGCCTCTTACAACACGCATGGCTTACGGAGGAAGAATTCTGTTCCACTTCCCCATGGAGATAAGAGGAAATAAACAAGAATAAGAACTAGAAAGAAAATAGAAGAAAACCCAGAGGGGTGTGTATATATGTGCTTGTACATGTATGTGTAGTGGGACCTAAGTGTAAGTAGAAGTAGCAAGACGTACCTGAAAACTTGCATGTTCATGAGACAGAAAAAAGGACACCAGCAATCCTACCATCATGTAAAACAATTACAGGCTTTCGTTTTACACTCACTTGGCAGGACGGTAGTACCTCCCTGGGCGGTTGCTGTCTACCAACCTACTACCTAGGACTCTATCATATGCCTTTTCTAAATCCATAAATGCAATAAAAACTTCCCTACCTTTATCTAAATACAGTTCACATATATGCTTCAATGTAAACACTTGATCTACACATCCCCTACTCACTCTGAAACCTCCTTTGTCCCCTTTCCCTTTATATAAAGGGACTATACATGCTCTCCGCCAATCCCTAGGTACCTTTCCCTCTTTCATACATTTATTAAACAAAAGTACCAACCACTCCAACACTATAACCTCCCCTGCTTTTAACATTTCTGTCATGATCCCATCAGTTCCAGCTGCTTTACCCCCTTTCATTCTACGTAATGCCTCGTGTACCTCCCCCACACTTACATTCTGCTCTTCTTCACTCCTAAAAGATGGTATACCTCCCTGACCAGTGCATGAAATTACCATCTCCCTTTCTTCCTCAACATTTAAAAGTTCCTCAAAATATTCTCACCATCTACCTAATACCTCCCTCTCCCCATCTACTAACTCCCCTACTCTGTTTTTAACTGACAAATCCATACTTTCCCTAGGCTTTCTTAACTTGTTTAACTCACTCCAAAATTTTTCCTTATTTTCATTAAAATTTCTTGACAGTGCCTCTCCCACTCTATCATCTGCTCTCCTTTTGCACTCTCTCACCACTCTCTTCACCTTTCTTTTACTCTCCATATACTCTGCTCTTCTTATAACACTTCTGCTTTGTAAAAACCTCTCATAAGCTAACTTTTTCTCTTTTATCACACCCTTTACTTCATCATTCCACCAATACACCTACCATCTGACTTACGACCTGCTCGACTTACGACCACTCGACTTACGACCGTGTTTTTAATGCCAAATTTCTGGGAAATAAACAACTATTTGTGTTGTACACAGTGTTTATCCTAAACCTTACAGTATAAAATACAGTACTAACAACATAAAAAGTAAAGTAAAACATGAAATACCAAAATAAAACAATAAAATAAAGTCATTAGAAAAATGTTTTGTTGATATTCAGTAGTAAAGTTCGACTTACGACCATTTCAATTTACGACCGGTTTCTCGGAACCGAACTCGGTCGTAAGTCAGATGGTAGGTGTAATAATAATAATAATAATAATAATACAGTAGGTAGTAGGTTGGTAGACAGTAACCACCCAGGGAGGTACTACCATCTTGCCAAGTAAGTGTAAAACAAAACCTGTAAATGTTTTACATGATGGTAGGATTGCTGGTGTCTTTTTTCTGTCTCATAAACATGCAAGATTTCAGGTATGTCTTGCTACTTCTACTTACACTTTGGTCATACTACACATACATGTACAAACATATATATACACACCCCTCTGGGTTTTCTTCTATTTTCTTTCTAGTTCTTGTTCTTGTTTATTTCCTCTTATCTCCATGGGGAAGTGGAACAGAATTCTTCCTCCGTAAGCCATGTGTGTTGTAAGAGGTGACTAAAATGCCGAGAGCAAGGGGCTAGTAACCCCTTCTCCTGTATAAATTACTAAATTTAAAAAGAGAAACTTCGTTTTCCTTTTTGGGCCACCCTGCCTTGGTGGGATATGGCTGGTTTGTTGAAAGAATAATAATAATAATAATACAGTGGTACCTTGGGATACGAACTTAATCTGTTCCAGAAGGCTGTTCGACTGCCGATACAGAACGAATTTGTTCCCATAAGGAATAATGTAAATTGGATTAATCTGTTTCAGACCCCCAAAAATACACTTACAAAAGCACTTACATAAATACACTTCCACAATGTTTGAGTTTTGAGCTGTTCGAATCCTGAGGTACCACTGTAATGTAATAATCTACTTAGTAATAATTATTACTAAGTAGATTCTCTTTTTTTAATCACATTGGCCAGCTCCCACTGAGGTTGGGTCACCCAAAAAACAAACTTTCATCATTATTCACACTATCATTGTCTTGCCAAAGGCATGTAGATATGACAGTTCAGATGTTCCTCCAAACAAAAAATATCCCTACCCCTCCTTTAGAGCGCAAGCACTGTACTTCCCACCTCCAGGACTGAAGTATAGCTAGCTACTTTCTCTACACTTCTTCTCCAGCAGCTCATCAAGCCCCAAAAGTCATATGCCTCCACTTGCTCCTATCTAACACACTCACACATGCCTGCTGGATGCACAAGCCCTCTGCACACAAAACCTTCTTTACCACCTCCTTCCGTCCTTTCCTAGGTCGACCCCTATCCCACCTTCCCTTTACTACAGATGATTAATATTATTAAGATTTTTATATATTTTTCCAACAAACCTGCTGTCTCCCACCAAGGAAGGGTAACCCAAAAAACAATGAAATTCTTTCACTATCATTCACTCCATCACTGTCTGGCCTGAAAGGTGCCAATACTACAGTTCGAAACTGCCAATATCAACACCTCTCCTACAGAGCGCAGGCACCATACTTCCCACCTCAAGGATCAAGTCTGGCTAACCAGTTTCCCTAAATCCCTTCATAAATGTTACCTTGCTCACACTCCAACAGAATGTCAAGTCATAAAATTATCACCATCATCAGCAAGGAGGCAGCGCAGATGTCCTGTCTAAGGGCAATGTGTGGTGTAAATACAGTGGACCCCCGGTTTACGATCAGCTCCCAATGCGACCAATTATGTAAGTGTATTTATGTAAGTGCATTTGTATCTGTATGTTTGGGGGTCTGAAATGGATTAATCTAATTCACAATATTCCTTATGGGAACAAATTCGGTCAGTACTGGCACCTGAACATACTTCTGGAATGAAATAATATCGTAAACCGGGGGTCCACTGTATTATGCAGAAAATTCGGAGTGTGGAAATTAGGTGTGGAGTTAATAAAAGTATTAGTCAGAGGGCTGAAGAGGGGTTGTTGAGGTGGTTTGGTCATTTAGAGAGAATGGATCAAGGTATAAATGACATGGAGAGCATATAAATCTAAAGGGGAAGGAAGGTGAGGTAGGGGTCATCCTCAAAAAGGCTGGAGGGAGGGAGTAAAGGAGGTTTTGTGGGCGAGGGGCTTGGACTTCCAGCAAGCGTGCATGAGCGTGTTAGATAGGAGTGAATGGAGACGAATAGTATTTGGGACCTGAGGAGCTGTTGGAGTGCGAGCAGGGTAATATTTAGTGAAGGGATTCAGGGAAACCTGTTATTTTATATAGCTGGACTTGAGTCCTGGAAATGGGAAGTACAATGCCTGCAATTTAAAGGAGGGGTTTGGGATTTTGGCAGTTTGGAGGGATATGTGTATCTTTATACGCATATACTTCTAAACTGTTGTATTCTGATCACCTCTGCAAAAACAGTGATTATGTGCGAGTGAGGTGAAAGTGTTGAATGATGATGAAAGTATTTTCTTTTTTGGGGATTTTCTTTCTTTTTGGGTCACCCTGCCTCGGTGGGAGACGGCAGACTTGTTAAAAAAAAAAAAAAAGTACCTGCTATTTTTAGCTGCAGATATAACAGCTGCTGCCCCACCAGTGTCAACTTTGGGGCCTTCCAAAACAAGAGTACCAAGAAGTGTTGACATATCTTCGTCATTCATGAAAGGCGAGACAGGTGAGATAGTTTCTCCTTGGACAGTTATCAGAGCATATCGCACATCACCTGCAATAATAGGCCAATGTAATACCAGTTAAATTTTTTCATGCCTACCTTTTCTTTCAGATATGCAGTACAGTACTTTGTAATACTATGCTTTCTAGGCTTTGAGGATGCTGAATGTCTGCCCTATGCTTTTAATTCTCCTTTTCCCTAGAGGGCATAGATAGCCTATGATTGTCTTTATATCTATCCGTGTTAAAATGTCAGTAGAAAAATGGTGAAGGTGAAACATTAATGACAATAGTGATGATTAATAATGATAATATGATAATGATATAGTTGATCTTCAATGCTGTTACTTTATTTTTATATGTTGCAATGTTCAGTTAATCAGATCATTAAGTATTGGGGATCTTACTATCAGCTAAAGAAACTGGAAGCATTTCAGTATATGTAGTAACTTACTAATTCCAGATTTTCTTAGCTGTACTTTCACAAGCTTTAGAAGTTGCTGCAGATTTCTGTCCTTGTTGCAATTAGCTAGTTCAACTATGAGGACAATGTCAGCTGATCCCTCAGCATGTGCTTGGTACATGTGCATCCAGCCAGCAGGTACTGTCTCACCATTCACATCACATGTTCCTCTAGGTACTGCAGCCATTTTTCTCACCGTCACTGCTTTCTCTTCTGTGAAAAATAATAAATTTATTGCATATTCTGTATGGACAAGTTCTAAAATATTAATTTTATTGCGATTACCAATAATGAAAGTCTAGTGTCTGCCAGTCAGCGTCCAGAGGCCAAATTTCAAAAGGTGCACCAGGGTCCAAGAATTTAAAAAAAAAAAATTTTTATTTTTCTTATGAAATGGCAGAGAATCTTTTTCTGAAGGTAATAAAATAAAAAGTACAAAATTTGATGGAAAACTGACGAAATTATGCTCCTGTGAATTTTGATGTGTCAGCGATATTTACGCATCGGTGATTTTGCCAACTTTGACTTCCATTTTTGGCCAATTACATTATTCCAGTCGACCAAATTCTTAGTTATTTCACTAGTATTACTTCTATTCTATCGATTGAGCACAAAAAATTGCGAAGTCAACTGTTTCAACTACAAAATAAAGTGATCGGAAATTGGTAATTTGGCCAATTTAATGCAAAGTTCAAAATATTCCAATTTCAAAATAGGGTCCAGGATAAACAATGCAAGCATTCCTGGCACTAAACTAACATTTCCTCTGTTCAATAGTTACATTTTCAGGCTTTACAAATGAATTCCATTTTGATTTTTTATTCACATAATGAATTTTTATTCAAACCAAAAAATAGAACATTTACTGTTATGCAATATTGTAATAATTGTATAAATATCATCACCACATTTGTGAATGTATATCAGACCCACCAGCTGGCATGTATTAGACGTGTGAGGTCATTTGTTTACTCTTGAACATCAGCAAAAATTTAACATTTCTGCTACTTTGAGCTCAGTTTCAAGCCATTTCCAGTACTAAAACCAATCAAAACCATCTCTATTTCTGTAATATATCTTCCATTATATCAAATGAGACCAAGAAATTGCAAATACAACTATAAAAAACATACGAAAAAACCCTGCAAATTCGCTGTTTAAATCGAAAATTACGGTCTCAGTTTTTTCTCTCATTATGCACTGTGTGCTGCAGGATTTGTTTTATGTGGTGAACACATACCACATAGATGTATTCTCTCATATCTAGGCCCAAATTTACAGCTCACAGCTTATCAGAGTGAGCTGAGCTCATGGTGTAGATCTACGGTTTGGACCCTCAACTCCAAGCCGTAGAACTACGGCATGGACCCTGAAAGGGTTAAACTAGCAATTCAGCCTACATTCTACAGCTTAGGTTAAGTATGCTAATGGTTCTGGAGATCACTGACCCTACTGCCTGGTGTCAGAAAATTGGAAATGAAATAAAATAGGAATAAAAACTCAAGAATCATACAGGAAAAGGTCATGATACTTGTATACTTAATGTAAATTTTTTTTATAAGATTTATATGTCATCTTATATTATCATTAGAAAAAATGACCAGCAATCCAGCCAGACAACTGTTTAACAGCCTTGTAATATTATGCGAAATTTGTGCACAGGTAATAACAACTTACCAGTGTAACAGTGGTGTGGTGAGGGCACGTGAACTCCCTGGGCCAGGCACTGAGTATGGTATGAGGCTGCTGCCTTACATGAAAAATTGCCCCCCTCATCATTCCCAAACTGCAGCTGATTATGGCTGTTAATACAGTGCCAGAAGTATGGCTTTGGATCCACCAGAAAGTAGCATGTGCTGAAGGGACTGGCCGAGCGCAGGAAAAGCTGTGCACATTCATCCACGCCTTCAGCTGCACTTACATCCTCCATTTTCACTGCCTGGTTTGCCTGATTATTAAAATGAATGAGATTCTGCAATATTTTATACTATTTTACTATTACATAGATGTCTAAGGTAGATTAAAGGATTAATTTTTTTAAATATTTTCTGTCAAATGGTGACATTTAATCAGACGAAAAATAGTAAAAGACAAAACATTACGTACTTTATTTGTAGTAATTTCTGTATGACCCTTGTGGGTTTTGCACTTAGTTATGATTATAATAATAATGTGTAATATTTAATGAATGATAGCAGGTAACAATTATATGAGTAAACAATGAACTAAAAAAAACATTCAAGTAGATGACAGTCAAAGAGCTCACACTAAACAATGAGAAATCTAGTACATAATACATATCTGGAAGTGAAACAACTAACCATATTAATATCAATAAATAATGATAAAACAGAAAGAGAGTGGAGGAACATTAATGGGCCTACATCTAGATCAACACTCAAATTCAGCACACAAAGAAAGTGAGCATTCTTTAAAAAAATTTAAGGTGTATAAAATGCATTTATTTTAATGCCTATTTTAAGGATCACACTATTCTTCATGGGTGGCATACAGGAAAATTTCAGTCTTCATGAGAACTGTGCAGTTGATATACATTAAACCTAATAAAGTAACAACCAGACAACCCCTCACAGATTTACTGTGTGCCCAAACTCCACCACACAAACTCTATACTCTGGAATAATCTATTCGTATCTCTGCTTGAGTCAATACAGAAACTCCAAATACATACAGTATATAAAAAATATTTAATTTCTATACATCCTTGTTGGTGTATGCTTTAACAATAATGAACATACTACAAACAGAGGGTAGAATGCTCTTTTATCTGCTTCATTTACCCACTTTCATATATTTTCAATAAGCTCTCCAAGAAAGCCATTATTTTCCTATGAAGTGGTATTCCGTATCTTATGCCCAATCAAAACTCTTTAGTTTCCTAGTACAGTAGAACCCCTGTATCCATGAATTCAGTTTCCACTGCTTCAGTTATCCATGGTTTACCATGGCTCAAAATAACCCTTAATTCTGCTTAATAATGACACCAAAGCACAAAAGTAGTGATGATGGAATTCTTCAAAGACTGAGAGAAGAGGTGAAGCACTTCCCATCAGTGAAAAAGTGCTAATTCTCGATTTATTGCGAGTAATTTATCAATTAAACTTGATCATAGGTATGTATGTAAACCCTGGGTAGTAGGTTGGTAGACAGAAAGCACTACCATCCTGCCAAGTGAGTGTGAAATGTAAACCTGTAATTGTTTTACATGATGGTAGGATTGCTGGTGTCTTTTTTCTGTCTCACAAACATGCAAGATTTCAGGTATGTCTTGCTACTTCTACTTAAACTAGGGTCACACTACACATGCATGTACAAGCATATGTATACACAAACCCCTCTGGGTTTTCTTCTATTTTCTTACTAGTTCTTCTTCTTGTTTATTTCCTCTTATCTCCATGGGGAAGTGGAATAGAATTCTTCCTCTGTAAACCATGTGTGTTGTAAGAGGTGACTAAAATGCCGGGAGGAAGGGGTAGTAGCCCCTTCTCCTGTATAATTAAATTTAAAAAGAGAAACTTTTGTTTTTGTTTAGAGGTCACCCTACCTCGGTGGGATATGGCCTGTTTGTTGAAAAAAAAAAGTATGTTTACCTGGACTTATATATAGGGTTATGTACTATCCTCAGTTTCGGGTATCCACGTTAGAGCTTGGAATGTATCCCTCTGTGGATACAGGGGGATACTGCTAGTAGCAAAATGAAGCATATCACATACAATATGATACCTGTTTCTGCATATTTCACACTGTAAATATAAGCTCTTACTTGATAACAAGGTGTGGAAGAGAGTGCCCATTGCGTGGCCAGGTGAGCAGCATTGTAAGTACGTGATCCATCAGGACCCCGAGTGTCGTCTGATGGCTCATAGTTATAGTTACCCAAGAGACCTGCCAATCTGTTCACAACATTAAAACTCATTACAGTGCTACACTATCCATAAAAATTAACACTTATTACAATGTTACATTATCTATAAACAAAATATAACTGAAATAAAATAAACATTTAATATTAAATACAAGGGAGGGAGGGAGGGAGTAAAAGTGGTTTTGTGTCCAAGAGGTTTGGACATACAGCAGGCATGTGTGAGTGCGTTAGATAGGAGTGAGTGGAGACAAATGGTTTTTGGGACCTGAAGTGCTGTTAGACTGTGAGCAAGGTAATATTTTGTGAAGGGATTCAGGAAAACTGGTTAGTCGTACTCGAGTCCTGGAGTTGGGAAGTACAGTGTCTGTGCAGACATGACAATTTAGATCTTCCTCCGAACAGTTAATATCCCAAATTAACTAACTTTGTGACCATGTGAATACTAGAAAAGATAAACAACAAAAGATATTCTTTAAGGGAAGTGCCTTCATGCTGGTAAAAAGACTATCCAAATCAAGCTGATAGGAATTTTTTTTACTTATTTCTTTATAAATAATCTTACAGTATATTATTTATTAACACAGCTGTTTCCCACCAAGGCAGTGAGATCCAAAAAAGAAGAAAGACTTTCACCATCATTCACTTGTACCGCCTCATATTAATAACAGAGTAAACAAACTTAACTACACACTTGAAATGTATGTTTATCATAAATTGTACTACCTCATATTAATAATAGAGTAAAATATTGAATATTTGTAATCAACCACTCTTCACCTGTCTAGACTTAAGTAGTCTTTAACCCTTTCAGGGTCCGTCCTGTAGATCTACGGCTTTACGCTCAGGGTCCAAACCGTAGATCTACGCCATGAGCTCAGCTCACTCTGATAAACTGTGAGTGGTACATTTGGGCCTAGATATGAGAGAATACATCTATGTGGTATGTGTGCACCACATAAAATAAATCCTGCAGCACACTGTGTATAATGAGAGAAAAAACTGAGACCATGATTTTCGATTAAAACAGCGACTTTGCAGTGTTTTTTTGTATGTTTTTTATAGTTGTATTTGCGATTTCTTGGTCTCATTTGATAGAATGGAAGACATATTACAGAAATAGAGATGATTTTCATTGGTTTTAGCACTGGAAATGGCTTGAAACTGAGCTCAAAGTAGCGGAAATGTTAAATTTTTGCCGATGTTCAAGAGTAAACAAACGACCTAACACGTCTAATACATGCCAGCTGGTGGGTCTAATATACATTCACAAATGTGGTGATGATATTTGTACAATTATTACAATATTGCATAACAGTAAATCTTCTATTTTTTGGTGTGAATAAAAATTCATTATGTGATTAAAAAATCAAAATGGAATTTATTTGTAAAGCCTCTAAACATAACTAATGAATGAGATAAAGTCAGTTGATCAAATGAAAATGCTGGCCCACAGATGGCTCCAACTTCATCCTGTTCCCTACTTGTACGTCTCATAACAATAAAAATGCTTTCAAATGAGCTGATGTAGGTAACAGCTCTTAGCTTGCCAATAAAGTTAGGAATCCTTAATCTGTAAATAGCTTGTCAATAAGGGTAGGGATCCTTAACCTTGTCAAATCCTGTGTAAAAAAAAAAAAAAAAAAAAAAGAAGAGGAAATGTTAGTTTAGTGCCAGGAATACCTACATTGTTTATTCTGGACCCTATTTTGAAATTGGAATATTTTGAACTTTGTGTTAAATTGGCCAAATTACCAATTTCCGATCGCTTTATTTTGTAGTTGAAACAGTTGACTTGGCAATTTCATGTGCTCAATCGATAGAACAGAAGTAATACTAGTGAAATAGCTAAGAATTTGGTCATCTGGAATAATGTAATTGGCCTAAAATGGGAGTCAAAGTCGGCAAAATCGCCGATTCATAAATATCGCCGACACATCAAAATTCGCGAGAGCATAATTTCATCAATTTTCCATCAAATTTCGTACTTTTTGCTTTATTACCTTCACAAAAAGATTCTCTACCATTTCATAAGAAAAAATAATTTTTTTTTTTTTTAAATTCTTGGACACTGGGGCACCACTTCAGATTTTGGCCTTGGACCCTGAGGGGGTTAAGTATTAGGTTAAGTCTGTCCGAAATGCCTCAGCATGATAGTAGCTTTCTTTGTAGCAATCAAATTATGAAATGTAAACACACATTGTAACCTTAGCAATGAAATAGTTTTGATACGATTTGATTTGACTGTCTTTCCAAAGGTGTACTGATACTACAGTTGACAAAAATTGCAACATATCTCCACCCCTCCTTCAGAGAGCAAGCACTATACTTTGCACCTCCAGGACTTAAGTCCAGCTAACCAGTTTCCTTGAATCCCTTCATAAATGTTACTTTGTTCACACTCCAACAGCACATCACATCATAAAAACCATTTGCCTCCACTCTCCTATCTAACATGCTCATGCACACCTTCTGGAAGTCTAAGCCTCTCGCACACAAAACTTCCTTTACCTCCTCCCTCCAACCCTTTCCTAGGATGACCCCAACCCCACCTTCCTTCCACTACAGCTTTATATATTACCTCATATCTAACCTTAATATTCAACTCTTATTGCAAAGTATATTACATGAGGTACAACAGATTTAATATGGGACTACCTTCTCGGCATTTTCATCAACATACTGTACTTTACATACATGTTTGAATGTTAGACCAGTGACACCAAGCAAGAGTACTCTCATACATCAAAATTTTTTTCTCTCCACATGAAAGATGTAACTGTAATTAAAGTTTCAGCAATCATGACTATCCAAAATTAGCAACAAAGCTACATATTCTAAAACAGGAGAAGCACTTGCTGCCCTGTGTTTTTTATTTCTTTTTTACTATTTTTTTTTTTTTTTTTTTTTTTTTATCACACCGGCCGATTCCCACCAAGGCAGGGTGGCCCGAAAAAGAAAAACTTTCACCATCATTCACTCCATCACTGTCTTGCCAGAAGGGTGCTTTACACTACAGTTTTTAAACTGCAACATTAACACCCCTCCTTCAGAGTGCAGGCACTGTACTTCCCATCTCCAGGACTCAAGTCCGGCCTGCCGGTTTCCCTGAATCCCTTCATAAATGTTACTTTGCTCACACTCCAACAGCACGTCAAGTATTAAAAACCATTTGTCTCCATTCACTCCTATCAAACACGCTCAAGCATGCCTGCTGGAAGTCCAAGCCCCTCGCACACAAAACCTCCTTTACCCCCTCCCTCCAACCCTTCCTTGGCCGACCCCTACCCCGCCTTCCTTCCACTACAGACTGATACACTCTTGAAGTCATTCTGTTTCGCTCCATTCTCTCTACATGTCCGAACCACCTCAACAACCCTTCCTCAGCCCTCTGGACAACAGTTTTTGGTAATCCCGCACCTCCTCCTAACTTCCAAACTACGAATTCTCTGCATTATATTCACACCACACATTGCCCTCAGACATGACATCTCCACTGCCTCCAGCCTTCTCCTCGCTGCAACATTCATCACCCACGCTTCACACCCATATAAGAGCGTTGGTAAAACTATACTCTCATACATTCCCCTCTTTGCCTCCAAGGACAAAGTTCTTTGTCTCCACAGACTCCTAAGTGCACCACTCACTCTTTTTCCCTCATCAATTCTATGATTCACCTCATCTTTCATAGACCCATCCGCTGACACGTCCACTCCCAAATATCTGAATACGTTTCACCTCCTCCATACTCTCTCCCTCCAATCTGATATTCAATCTTTCATCACCTAATCTTTTTGTTATCCTCATAACCTTACTCTTTCCTGTATTCACCTTTAATTTTCTTCTTTTGCACACCCTACCAAATTCATCCACCAATCTCTGCAACTTCTCTTCAGAATCTCCCAAGAGCACAGTGTCATCAGCAAAGAGCAGCTGTGACAACTCCCACTTTGTGTGTGATTCTTTATCTTTTAACTCCACGCCTCTTGCCAAGACCCTCGCATTTACTTCTCTTACAACCCCCATCTATAAATATATTAAACAACCACGGTGACATCACACATCCTTGTCTAAGGCCTACTTTTACTGGGAAAAAATTTCCCTCTTTCCTACATACTCTAACTTGAGCCTCACTATCCTCGTAAAAACTCTTCACTGCTTTCAGTAACCTACCTCCTACACCATACACTTGCAACATCTGCCACATTGCCCCCCTATCCACCCTGTCATACGCCTTTTCCAAATCCATAAATGCCACAAAGACCTCTTTAGCCTTATCTAAATACTGTTCACTTATATGTTTCACTGTAAACACCTGGTCCACACACCCCTACCTTTCCTAAAGCCTCCTTGTTCATCTGCTATCCTATTCTCCGTCTTACTCTTAATTCTTTCAATTATAACTCTACCATACACTTTACCAGGTACACTCAACAGACTTATCCCCTATAATTTTTGCACTCTCTTTTATCCCCTTTGCCTTTATACAAAGGAACTATGCATGCTCTCTGCCAATCCTAGGTACCTTACCCTCTTCCATACATTTATTAAACAATTGCACCAACCACTCCAAAACTATATCCCCACCTGCTTTTAACATTTCTATCTTTATCCCATCAATCCCGGCTGCCTTACCCCCTTTCATTTTACCTACTGCCTCACGAACTTCCCCACACATCACAACTGGCTCTTCCTCACTCCTACAAGATGTTATTCCTCCTTGCCCTATACACGAAATCACAGCTTCCCTATCTTCATCAACATTTAACAATTCCTCAAAATATTCCTTCCATCTTCCCAATACCTCTAACTCTCCATTTAATAACTCTCCTCTCCTATTTTTAACTGACAAATCCATTTGTTCTCTAGGCTTTCTTAACTTGTTAATCTCACTCCAAAACTTTTTCTTATTTTCAACAAAATTTTTTGATAACATCTCACCCACTCTCTCATTTGCTCTCTTTTTACATTGCTTCACCACTCTCTTAACCTCTCTCTTTTTCTCCATATACTCTTCCCTCCTTGCATCACTTCTACTTTGTAAAAAACTTCTCATATGCTAACTTTTTCTCCCTTACTACTCTCTTTACATCATCATTCCACCAATCGCTCCTCTTCCCTCCTGCACCCACTTTCCTGTAACCACAAACTTCTGCTGAAGACTCTAACACTACATTTTTAAACCTACCCATACCTCTTCGACCCCATTGCCTATGCTCTCATTAGCCCATCTATCCTCCAATAGCTGTTTATATCTTACCCTAACTGCCTCCTCTTTTAGTTTATAAACCTTCACCTCTCTCTTCCCTGATGCTTCTATTCTCCTTGTATCCCATCTACCTTTTACTCTCAGTGTAGCTACAACTAGAAAGTGATCTGATATATCTGTGGCCCCTCTATAAACATGTACATCCTGAAGTCTACTCAACAGTCTTTTATCTACCAATACATAATCCAACAAACTACTGTCATTTCGCCCTACATCATATCGTGTATACTTATTTATCCTCTTTTTCTTAAAATATGTATTACCTATAACTAAACCCCTTTCTATACAAAGTTCAATCAAAGGGCTCCCATTATCATTTACACCTGGCACCCCAAACTTACCTACCACACCCTCTCTAAAAGTTTCTCCTACTTTAGCATTCAGGTCCCCTACCACAATTACTCTCTCACTTGGTTCAAAGCCTCCTATACATTCACTTAACATCTCCCAAAATCTCTCTCTCTCCTCTGCATTCCTCTCTTCTCCAGGTGCATACACGCTTATTATGACCCACTTCTCGCATCCAACCTTTACTTTAATCCACATAATTCTTGAATTTACACATTCATATTCTCTTTTCTCCTTCCATAACTGATCATTTAACATTACTGCTACCCCTTCCTTTGCTCTAACTCTCTCAGATACTCCAGATTTAATCCCATTTATTTCCCCCCACTGAAACTCTCCTACCCCCTTCAGCTTTGTTTCGCTTAGGGCCAGGACATCCAACTTCTTTTCATTCATAACATCAGCAATCATCTGTTTCTTGTCATCCGCACTACATCCACGCACATTTAAGCAACCCAGTTTTATAAAGTTTTTCTTCTTCTCTTTTTTAGTAATTGTATACAGGAGAAGGGGTTACTAGCCCATTGCTCCCGGCATTTTAGTCGCCTCATACGACACGCATGGCTTACGGAGGAAAGATTCTTTTCCACTTCCCCATGGACAATAGAAGAAATAAAAAAGAACAAGAGCTATTTAGAAAAAGGAGAAAAACCTAGATGTATGTATATATATATATGCATGTGCGTGTCTGTGAAGTGTGACCAAAGTGTTAGTAGGAGTAGCAAGATATCCCTGTTATCTTAGCGTGTTTATGAGACAGAAAAAGAAACCAGCAATCCTACCATCATGCAAAACAATTACAGGTTTTTGTTTCACAGTCATCTGGCAGGACGGTAGTACTTCCCTGAGTGGTTGCTGTCTACCAACCTACTACCTATTCTAGTTATGAAAACATTAAAATTTGCATAAATTCCCAGACATAACAAAAACTAATTTTCACTGGTTAACACATTACTGTTTAACCGACAATTGTATATTTGGACTCCAATAGTTTGGAGAGAAAAAAGTCTGCTGTGGTACTCTGAAAATAATATGGTCTTGCAGTTCAGGCTTAAATTTTGGTCCATCTATTGAAACTGAATCCACATGCAGCTTTAAGGCATCATGCCCATCATGTCACCAGCAGCTGGTGCTGCCCCACTGAATGAAAACAGTGCTTTCCTTATAATAATTTTTGGCTTATACTGCATTACATTTAGCAACAAAATAAAACTGTATTACTTGTAATTAATAGTTAAGGGTTGGTTTTACTTATTTCAGTTGGACACTACATAATTTTTGAGAATGAGTACTCACCTGCCGAAGTATTTCCCGGAGACTGTGATGGAACAACCTTGGTACACTTTGTTGCAAGTCACCAGCAGACCATCCAACTTCACACCTGAGTGATCACCATTGGTGTAGGTCTGAAAATTAGATCTTATGTTATGCTAAGGAAAAATCAATACAAACAAATAAGATATGCAGTTATATTCCATAATAAGGAACTACAAAGACTAAAAGATTATTTAAATAAAAGCTAATTAGTGTACAATGCAATGTTTGGATTGCCAGTCTGAACTTGCCAGAGCTTATAGTGCTAGTGGGTTTCTTTTGAGTCTAACAATATCTTATTATATGTAAACTACATTACCTGTAAACCTGTAAACTGCAGAAAAGAAATAAATTACAGTGGAACCCCAGTTTTCATCGGGTCTGGTTATCGTATAATTCAGTTTTTGACCACAATTTTCAGCAAAATTTTCTCTGTTTTTGTACATCCACTCAGAAATCATCCATACCAGACATGTCCGCCTGCCCGCAGGACACAGCCGTTTGTACGTTCATGACTCAGTCTGCCTTTGTTACTTGTTCAGTGAGCAGTACTCCACGCATTCCTCTGAAACATTTCGTAATAATCCATTGTTTTTGTACTTGCAAGACCTTCATCTGGAACAGCAACAGACCTTAACTGAGGAAATTGCTTCAGAGGAGGAGGAAGAGAGAGGGGAGAATGTGCCTTCTTCAGCATTTAACCCGTAAACAGTCCAAGCAGATCTACGTTCACATGTGTAGTGCTACAAAAGTAGATCTACGTTTTTTTACATATTTTCAAATATAACAAAAAAAAAAGTAGATCAAAGTTTTTTTACACATTTTCAAATGTAAAAAAACAAAGAGAAGATCTACTTTTTTTACATGCTTTCAAATGTTGAAAAAACTGTTTACGGGTTAAGGACATTTGTGCAAAGTGGAGTGAGGTGCAAAGTTTTGTGGAGAAATATCAACCTAACAAAGCTGTTGCAAGCCATGTCAGCAACATGTTCAATGACAATGCTGTGTCCCATTTTAAGCAAATCTTAACCCTTTCAGGGTCCGTGCCGTAGTTCTACGGCTTTGAGTTGAGAGTCCAAACCGTAGATCTACCTCATGAGCTTAGCTCACTCTGATAAGCTGTGAGTAGTAAATTTGGGCCTAGATATGAGAGAATACATCTATGTGGTATGTGTGTACCACATAAAACAAATCCTGCAGCACACAGTGCATAATGAGAGAAAAAACTGTGACCGTAATTTTCGATTAGAACCGAATTTGCAGTGTTCTTTCGTATGTTTTTTATAATTGTATTTGCAATTTCTTGGTCTCATTTGATAGAATAGAAGATATATTACAGAAATAGAGATGGTTTTGATTGGTTTTAGTATTGGAAATGGCTTGAAACTGAGCTAAAAAGCATCGGAAATATAAAATTTTTGCCGATGTTCAAGAGTAAACAAATGACCTCACACGTCTAATACATGCCAGCTAGTGGGTCTAATATATGTTCACAAATGTGGTGATATTATTTATACAATTATTAGAATGTTGCATAACAGTAAATCTTCTATTTTTTGGTTTAAATAAAAGTTCATTATGAGAATAAAAAATCAAAACGGAATTCATTTGTAAAGCCTGAAAATGAAACTATTGAACAGAGGATATGTTAGTTTAGTGCCAGGAATGCTTGCATTGTTTATCCTGGACCCTATTTTGAAATTGGAATATTTTGAACTTTGCATTAAATTGGCCAAATTACCAATTTCCGATCACTTTATTTTGTAGTTGAAACAGCTGACTTGGCAATTTTTTGTGCTCAATCAATAGAATAGAAGTAATACTAGTGAAATAACTAAGAATTTGGTCAACTGGAATAATGTAATTGGCCTAAAATGGAAGTTGAAGTTGGCAAAATCACCGATGCGTAAACATCGCTGACACATCAAAATTCACAAGAGCATAATTTCATCAATTTTCCATCAAATTTCGTATATTTTGTTTTATTACCTTCAGAAAAAGATTCCCTACCATTTCATAAGGAAAAATAGCAAAATTTTTTTTTGAAAATTCTTGGACCATGGTGCACACTTTGAAATTTGGCCTCTGGACCCTGAAAGGGTTAAAGAGATGCCAGAAATAGGCCTCTCTGGACAGAATTTTTGTGCGACAGGGGTACAGTGACTCTCAAGCTGGTCCTAGTGCTAGTAAAAGACAAAGAAGGGAAGTAACCCTGGATAGGGCTTTGATACTTCAAGTCCTTATGAAGGTTGAGTCCCCTTCCAAACAATAACCTCTCCTCCCTCTTCCCTCCTCACCGTCTTCCATATGCCAACAAGAGTCTTCAATAAAGGTAAAAGTGATGTTAAATGTTCATTGATCCATTTCATTAGTGCTTTATATTTATTTCTCATTGTTTTCTGTATGTAAAACTATAGCTATTCTCTATAATATTTATTTTTTGTTAATATTTTTGGGTGTCTGGAACGGATTAATTGGATTGATATTATTTCTTACGGGGAAATATTACTTCAGTTTTTGTACAATTTGGTTTTCGGCCAACCTTCTGGAAAGGATTAAAGATGAAAACTGGGGTTCCGCTGTGTTTGTACAGAGCAGCTCAAAATTATTTTTATCTTGTCCGACACAGGGTTACTATTTAGAGGCAAGACAGTCCCTAAATATAAAACAGGCACATGTGGTCAGATGGCTGAGTGGCTTACATACTGGCCTGGAGTTTTAGGACTCACTTTGCTATGGGTTCAAACCCCCTCCCATTCTGTGGTTTGTTTAATAGAGACTAAAGATAATACTGACAAGAAAATGAGTCACCTCAGCACCAGCTTCAGTAACATTGATAGTGCCATCAACATGCAGCGTAACATTGGCAGAGTGACCCAGCACCACTATTGATTCCAGCTGCACAACTCCAGCCTTTGATTTGTATACACCAATTACGGAAAAGTCACCACTAATGAAGTCTCTGGTCAGCAGGTAGGAGCAAGGGCCAAGGAACTGGTAGTGATGCAGATCAAATGTTGTTATATGTTGACCTGAAAGTAGGAAGTCATTCTTAAACCACTGTTATATAATCAAAATAATAATAAAAGTATTTAGGAAAAGGTGTGGAATTAATAAAAGTATTAGTCAGAGGGCTGAAGAGAGGTTGTTGAGGTGGTTTGGTCATTTAGAGAGAATGGATCAAAGTAGAATGACATGGAGAGCTTATAAATCTGTAGGGAAAGGAAGGCAGGGTAGGGGTCATCCTCAAAAAGGTTGGAGGGAGGGGGTAAAGGAGGTGTTGTGGGCGAGGGGTTTGGACTTCCAGCAAGCGTGCGGGACTGTGTTAGATAGGAGTGAATGGAGACAAATGGTATTTGGGACCTGACGAGCTGTTGGAGTGAGCAGGGTAATATTTAGTGAAGGGATTCAGGGAAACCGGTTATTTTATATAATCTGACTTGAGTCCTGGAAATAGGAAGTACAATGCCTGCACTCTAAAGGAGGGGTTTGGGATATTGGCAGTTTGGAGGGATATATTGTGTATTTTTATACGTATATATACTTCTAAACTGTTGTGTTCTGGGCACCTCTGCAAAATCAGTGATTATGTGTGAGTGAGGTGAAAGTGTTGAATGATGATGAAAGCATTTTCTTTTAGGGGATTTTTTTTTCTTTTTGGGTCACCCTGCCTTGGTGGGAGACGGCCGACTTGTTGAAAAAAAAAAAAAAAAATAGGAAAAAGATATAATCAGTTACACTTGTCAACAAAATTAAATTTATGTTTCCTCATCGAAGATTTCAACACGTTTTTTAAACTCATTTCATATGATTTCCAAATTTGTCCTTATTTTTCCTCAGCATGTCTTGGTTTCCAAATATTAAGGTTTTATATATTTTAATTTTAGAGATTTAGGGCATAATACATTTCATACTAGGATAACCACCTATAATTTAATACTGCAATACATATCATATACTTGTTAAATGCCTTTAGAACACATTTTTGATGACCTAAAAACACTGAGAGTATGATTTTCTCTTGTAAACTTTGGGTAGACTGTGGCTGTACAACATCCAGCAGTAATCTGCCATCATCCTTTCAGTCTAGAAACTGTGACAGCAATTTTCCATAGCTTGAATGTCTCAGCACTCACAGCACCAAGATCTTTTGGGAAAGAAATCTAGATGAGAAAAAAAAAAAAGTATTTTAAAAGAAGTGTAACACTCCATTTTATTATATGTATCTAGCAGATTCTGCACTCCATCTCTCTGTGTGGGAGACTTTTAGTTATCCAAATCACTTTCCACATATCCATTTTAAATTCTGCTGTACTTTTAATTCTAATACACTAGGGTTTCCTTCAAAGCCACCATCCTTTAGGACCTTCCTGACTTTTGTGCCAAAGAAAATTCCCTTCTATAATTTTGCTGCACTGACTTCTGGAAATTTCTCAACAAGGTACTAAAAAAAATCTTAATTTCTCCTTACCCACTGGTTTACTTAATTTTTTTTTCATTAAACAGAGATAAATGTGAAGGAGTGGCAGAAAAATCTTAGGATCAACTAATGGAACACAACGAACACCGCTCGTCCCTTGTTTCCAGTCTCATCTAATGTAATAATCTGTACTAACACTGCTGCCCTATAGGCCTAGGTAGTAACAGTACCTTGTGAGCTTTTCTTTTAATTTTAATTTTTACCCTGTGAACTCTTCTTGCATGTCAATTAACATACAGGTAGTTCATGGCCTGGTAGGCAAAGCTCTCACTTCACACACTGAGGGTTCGGGTTCGATTCCTGGCAAGGGTGGAAACATTAGGCATGTCTCCTTACACCTGTTGTCCACATTAACCCATCAGTAAAATGGGTACCTGGGTGTTAGTCAACTGGTGTGGGTCGCATCCTGGGACAAAAATTGAGCTAATTTGCCCGAAATGCTTTGCATAACAAGGAGCTTTCTATATAGTAGTACCTGTATGTCACTGATGTCAGCTAGGCCTGTATACTACCTTGTACATGTACTTGTAGAAAATATATTATTATTATTACTGATGACTTAAATATCACCACATACATTCCACTAATGATAGCTGTATTGGACTGCATCGAAGAACATTTTCATGTACGTCTCCTTGAGATAGAAGTACAGTGAAACCTCTACTTGCGAGCGCATCCACATGCGAGTTTTTCCAAATACAAGCAGTCGATGGGTCGATTTTTTGTTTCCATACGCGAGCAAAATTTCCATAAGCAAGCAGACCTCAAGACAGGTTCCTTGATGCTGGTGAGGGGCTCTTGCTCTTGATCTAGGCAATTGTATCTCATTTGTTTGTTGGACTATCTTATTGAAACTTGGGCAATGTATGATGGAAAGATGCTTCTTAACGTACACCAAAAATGAAAGAAATCTAAGCATAAATAATGGAGTTAACTTCTCAGCAATTAGCCACCACTTAGCGGTATTTTCGTATGGTTTTTATAGTTGTATTCTCGTTTTTTTGGTCTTATTTGATAGAATGGAAGATATATTACAGAAATAGATATGATTTTGATTGCTTTCACGATGAAAAGTACCTTGAAATTGAGCTCAACACAGGAGAAATGTTCGACTGTTCTGACTTTGTTCAAGAGTAAACAAATGATAGCATATATATACATACCCCTCTGGGTTTTCTTCTCTTTTCTTACTAGTTCTTGTTCTTGTTTATTTCCTCTTATCTCCATGGGAAAGTGGAACAGAATTCTTCCTCCGTAAGCCATGCGTGTTGTAAGAGGCGACTGAAATGCCAGGAGCAAGGGGCTAGTAACCCCTTCTCCTGTATAAATTACTAAATTTAAAAAGAGAAACTTTTGTCTTTCTTTTTGGGCCACCCTGCCTTGGTGGGATACAGCCAGTTTGTTTAAAGATGATGATGATGATTAAAATTCAAATCCTGGATCCATTATGTACCTCTATAATCATATCTTTACCAGCTAAATGAATGCAATACAAAATATAATTTTCAGATCAACATTACACAGTTAATTCCATGACTTATTCTGCATGTTAAAAAATGCCATAAACCCTGGAAAAATACTCATGACCATAAGAGTTACATTATATAAACCTTATCATGAGAAACTCTTAAATTAGCAGTTAATGACCTCTCCACTCTTTTATAAGTCAGTTGGTCTCTTCTGCCTTCAGTTTTCTATTGCTATATGACCCCTATGGGTTTAGCACTTTTCTCTGATTTAAAAATTATTGAACTCCTATTCTATGTGCAGTCCTGGTATCACCCAGTGACATTGTAGATGGTGGACACCTATCCTTATCACAGTATTAAGGTTACCCATATGGGTAACCTTAATACTATGATGAAGATACCCATACAGGTATACCAGTACACCCATATGGGTATACTGGTATCCATTGGCTCGGTTGGAAACATTTCTGCCTAACGCACTAAATGTCCATGGTTCAATTCCCAGCCTGGGTGGAAACACTGGGCATGTTTCCTACACTTGCTGTCTTGTTCACTTAGCAGTAAGCAGGTACCTGGGTGTTAGTTGACTGGTGTGGGTTGCATCCTGGGGGACAAGACTGAAGGAACCTCAATGGAAATAAGACAGACAGAGTCCTTGATGATGCACTGACTTTCTTGGGTTATCCTGAGTGGCTAACCCTCTGGATTAAAAATAAAAATAAATCTGTCATCTTACAATACACTCCTATGTTATACATGAGTTATATAGGAGTGGCTAAAGGACTGCAATGTGGTTGGTAGAGGGGGATAAGAGATTTGTCTTGAAGCAGCATTAGTATTATTATTTTTATTTACAAGAGGTCTTGGGGAGGATTATGGAATTTTTCAGAGGTTTCAGTTTCTCCATGATAAGCCTAATGAAAATGATAATGACAATCTCTATTTCTACAAAGTATACAATATACAATTGATTTAGGAATAGTTGGCACTATTGAAATTTTATAGAAAGTGCCTGGTTATACAGAATGTTTTCATTTTTAATTCTAGTGAACACTGGCTGGGATATGCCAGTGGATGATTAACTAGTTAATGGGTCAACATCTGATTAAATCCATGTCAGGAGACATTGTGTTGTTTCCTGAAAAACAAAATGCCGCTACCAACTATTATCCTCACAGGATAACACATCTGTGTATGAAAAATAACACCTTGGTGAAGTGTCACAAACAGGGCAAGTGATAATTACCCATCCAATGCCCCAGTCAAAGCAAATACTTGTCACAGTCCTCCTGCCTTCGAAAGGCTAGACCAACAGCCATAGATCCTGATAACAGGAGAATCACCTGTTGAGGGAGAATGAATGTAGCCACCCTAGAGGCATCCTAGTTAGAGAGCAATCAAGCAAACATACTGACTGGAGTACAACTGGTTGGCAACTGACAGGAATGCTCAGAGATAGTCTATGTCAAAATATACAATCAGTCTCAACTGGTTGTGTTTGTAGGTCTTGTGGCTAAGTAGGCAGTGCTCTCGCCTTAATCCCCAGCTGGGTGGAAATGCTGGACAAGTTTCTTTACACTCGCTGGTCCTGTTCACTTATTAGTAAGTAGGTACCTGGGTGTGGGTCACATCCTGTAGAACAAGACTGAAGGATCTCGATGGTAATGAGATAGACAGTCCCCGATGACACACTTGACAGTCTTGGGTTGTTATCCTGGGTGGCTAACCCTCTGGGTTAAAAATCTGAACAAATCTTATCTTAGAGGTGTAATCAGAAGGCTGGGTGTGTTCCTAATGGGTTATCAAAGCCAAAATGAAGAAATATCATGCAACCATCTACAGGTGCTTTGATTAATATTTAGTCCTGTTACATGTCCAATATTTTTATCATTACCTTAAAGGAAAATAACATACCATAAATGGTTGCTGTGGCAATAAAGGGTGGTAAGAGTGCACCAGGTTGGCGAAGAGCTTCCCAACCACTCTCCACGCTATCTACTCCTTCAGCTAATAGTCTCTGCACTTCAAGTATGGGAGATTCCTGAAGCAAAACATTTAGTTTGAGAAGATTCTCATTTTTTAGCACGAATTCATTTACAATTTATAACTCCAAATTATAATATTTGCAGTTATTTATTATCAACTTATAATTCCTTTTACAACTAAAATGAGGTTCCTTTTTCTCATGTGATTCTTTTGTTAATGGTAAATTTTACTCATGTGATGAGGTTTTGATATTGAAACCAAGAGAGAGTGTCAGTATATAAAACATGAAATAACATATCCACAAAATATTAGGATGGGATTCATTAAATGCTGGACTAAAGAAATACAAAGACTTTTAATAATTTTGAAGATGCATTTTAAACTGATTCCTACGGCTCTTACAATGCAAACTGAAAGTACTCTTACATCTAATCAAAGAATCTGTTTTAGTGATGGTCAATTTAACCCGTAAACGGTCCAAACGTATATACTATACGTTTTTTCAACATTTGAAAGTATGTAAAAAAAGTAGATCTTTTTTTCTTTTTACATTTGAAAATGTGTAAAAAAACTTTGATCTACTTTTTTTTTTTTTTCAATAAGTCGGCCATCTCCCACTGAGGCAGGGTGACCCAAAAAAGAAAGAAAATCCCCAAAAAGAAAATGCTTTCATCATCATTCAACACTTTCACCACACTCACACATTATCACTGTTTGTGCAGAGGTGCTCAGAATACAACAGTTTAGAAGCATACACATATAAAGATACACAACATATCCTTCCAAACTGCCAATATCCCAAACCCCTCCTTTAAAGTGCAGGCATTGTACTTCCCATTTCCAAGACTCAAGTCCGACTATATGAAAATAACTGAACTGACTATATGAAAATAACTGAATCCCTTCACTAAATATTACCCTGCTCACACTCCAACAGATCATCAGGTCCCAAGTATCATTCGTCTCCATTCACTCCTATCTAACACGCTCACACACGCTTGCTGGAAGTCCAAGCCCCTCGCCCACAAAACCTCCTTTACCCCCTCTCTTCAACCCTTTCGAGGATGACCCCTACCCCTCCTTCCTTCCCCTATAGATTTATATGCTTTCCATGTCATTCTACTTTGATCCATTCTCTCTAAATGACCAAACCACCTCAACAACCCCTCTTCTGCCCTCTGACTAATGCTTTTATTAACTCCACACCTCCTAATTTCCACACTCCGAATTTTCTGTATAATATTTACACCACACATTGCCCTTAGACAGGACATCTCTGCTCCCTCCAACCATCTCCTCGCTGCTGCATTTACCACCCAAGCTTCACATCCATATGAGAGTGTTGGTACCACTATACTTTCATACATTCCCTTCTTTGCCTCCATAGATAGCATTTTTTGACTCCACATATACCTCAATGCACCACTGACCTTTTTTCCCTCATCAATTCTATGATTAACCTCATCCTTCATAAATCCATCCGCCAACACGTCAACTCCCAAGTATCTGAAAACATTCACTTCTTCCATACTCCTCCTCCCCCAATTTTTATATCCAATTTTTCTTTATCTAAATCATTTGATACCCTCATCACCTTACTCTTTTCTATGTTCACTTTCAACTTTCTACCTTTACACACATTCCCAAACTCATCCACTAACCTTTGCAATTTTTCTTTAGAAACTCCCATAAGCACAGTATCATCAGCAAAAACTAACTGTGTCAATTCCCATTTTGAATTTGATTCTCCATAATTTAATCCCACCCCTCTCCCAAACACCCCAGCATTTACTTCTTTTACAACCCCATCTATAAATATATTAAACAACCATGGTGACATTACACATCCCTGTCTAAGACCTACTTTTACCGGGAAGTATTCTCCCTCTCTTCTACACACCCTAACCTGAGCCTCACTATCCTCATAAAAACTCTTAACAACATTTAGTAACTTACCACCTATTCCATATACAGTGGACCCCCGGTTAACGATATTTGTTCATTCCAGAAGTGTGTTCAGGTGCCAGTACTGACCGAATTTGTTCCCATAAGGAATATTGTGAAGTAGATTAGTCCATTTCAGACCCCCAAACATACACGTACAAACGCACTTACATAAATACACTTACATAATTGGTCGCATTGGGAGGTGATCGTTAAGCGGGGGTCCACTGTACTTGCAACATCTGCCACATTGCTCCTCTATCCACTCTATCATATGCCTTTTCTAAATCCATAAATGTAATAAAAACTTCCCTACCTTTATCTAAATACTGTTCACATATATGCTTCAATGTAAACACTTGATCTACACATCCCCTACCCACTCTGAAGCCTCCCTGCTCATCCACAATCCTACATTCTGTCTTACCTCTAATTCTTTCAATTATAACCCTACCGTATACTTTTCCTGGTATACTCAGTAAACTTATTCCTCTATAATTTTTACAATCTCTTTTGTACCTTTCCCTTTATATAAAGGGATTATACATGCTCTCTGCCAATCCCCAGGTACCTTCCCCTCTTTCATACATTATTAACAAAAGTACCAACCACTCCAACACTATATCCCCCCTGCTTTTAACATTTCTGTCATGATCCCATCAGTTCCAGCTGCTTTACCCCCTTTCATTCTACGTAATGCCTCACGTACCTCCCCCACACTTACATTCTGCTCTTCTTCACTCCTAAAAGATGGTATACCTCCCTGGCCAGTGCATGAAATTACCGCCTCCCTTTCTTCCTCAACATTTAAAAGTTCCTCAAAATATTCTCGCCATCTACCTAATACCTCCCTCTCCCCATCTACTAACTCCTCTACTCTGTTTTTAACTGACAAATCCATACTTTCCCTAAGCTTTCTAACTTGTTTAACTCACTCCAAAATTTGTTCTTATTTTCATTAAAATTTCTTGACAGTGCCTCTCCCACTCTATCATCTGCTCTCCTTTTGCACTCTCTCACCACTCTCTTCACCTTTCTTTTACTCTCCATATACTCTGCTCTTCTTATAACACTTCTGCTTTGTAAAAACCTCTCATAAGCTACCTTTTTCTCTTTTATCACACCCTTTACTTCATCATTCCACCAATCACTCCTCTTTCCTCCTGCCCCCACCCTCCTATAACCACAAGCTTCTGCCCCACATTCTAATACTGCATTTTTAAAACTATTCCAACCCTCTTCAACCCCCCCACTACTCATCTTTGCACTAGCCCACCTTTCTGCCAATAGTCGCTTATATCTCACCCAAACTTCCTCCTCCCTTAGTTTATACACTTTCACCTCCCTCTTACTTGTTGTTGCCACCTTCCTCTTTTCCCATCTACCCCTTACTCTAACTGTAGCTACAACTAATTAATGATCCGATATATCAGTTGCCCCTCTATAAACATGTACATCCTGGAGACTACCCATCAACCTTTTATCCACCAATACATAATCTAACAAACTACTTTCATTATGTGCTACATCATACCTTGTATATTTATTTATCCTCTTTTTCATAAAATATGTATTACTTATTACCAAATTTCTTTCTACACATAGCTCAATTAAAGGCTCCCCATTTACATTTATATTTGAAAATATGTAAAAAAAACATAGATCTACTTTTGGAGCACTACACATGTGAATGTAGATCTGCTTGGACCGTTTACGGGTTAATTTTAAGGATAAGCATATTATAATGCTAATCTTGCAGAGGAAGTTAATTTGCTAGAACATTTTAAGAAAACACTCAAACCTGTAGTTGTTAAATGGAAGATAGCAGTTATCAGAATGCAATGAAACAGGGCTCTAGGAAAGCACTATAGGTTATTTTATAATACTCACCTTCTTAAACAGATTAGTAAGTTTGTACCACTGAGGTGGTTCAAGGAAGTTTTTCCAAGGTACAGGCAGATATTGGTTGTACATAATCTTGCCGTATTTAGATGGTTCAAACACAAATGAGCTGCAAAGAGGATTTATATATTTTTTTTTCAACTTTTAATGGAACTAAATACAAGTATTTTTCTTTCTGTCTGCCCACACCTTTAAAGTTAGCTCCTTAATTCCTATTGATGTGTGCTCAGTAAACATAGTTCTTGATCTTGTAAAATGCTGTATGGATCAAAGTAGGCATGCTGTGCGGTGCTTCTTAAATTTAATAAAAAAAATACCCTACAAAAAAAGATTACAGGAGGATAAAGTAAGGGTTCTCAGAAAAGTGAGATCATGCTTTATAATGATCATACTTCTGTGACAGTGACGAAAAAAATAGATAGTGGAGAGTGGATAGACTGTATATTTCTTGGACCATTACCACATCTTTATTTCAGAGCCACTCATGTGACAAATTTGGGAAACAGAAAAGCTGGCTTGAATGTCATGGGAAGTATTTTTCAGGATACTATAATAAGTAATGTAGATTTCCTTAAGGTTCATTTTTCAGGCACATTTTCTTCATATGTCCAAGGGACACTGATTCCCACGTGTGTATGTTTGCACATGATAGGAAACTTTTGATAAAAAACAAAAATAAGATTTCATTGGCATACGCAATGTTGACTTTCAGGAACCTCAACAAACATTCATTCATACATTATACATGAAAGCTTCATTCTGGAATCCATAACTACAACTTGTACAAAGATATCCAGAAGAATCAATGACCTAGATCAAGAAATTCTATGAAAGAGGGATGGGAATAGGATGATGGGGTTAACCAGAAACTGATTGCCAGAATGAGAGATGAAGGAACAAGTTTATTAATTAGTGTGGATGGTGAGCATGTAAAGTAATAACTCCATACAGGAGGGCCCTGCTTTACAGTGCTTCACTTTACAGCATTTTGCTAATACAGCAGCTTTCAATTATACCCATTCTTCATTTATTCAGACTTTCTACGATAAATATATTCACTACTCACTGTAAGCTATGAAAATATTTTAATATAAGTAATATCTATGTACTATACGTATATGTATTTTTTAGGCCTAACTCTATTGCTCACTTAATATATTGATAGTATCAGCACGTTATGAGGCTTTTATATGCACTTGAAAGTAAAAAAAGGCTGTGTCACTTTACGGTGATTTTTGCTTTACAGCAGTAGCTCGCAGCCTAACCTGTTGTATAAACAGGGCCCACCTGTACAGGAATTCAAATGCAAATATACAACAAGACCTGCAGGTTTGAGGGACACATTACACAGGATGACTTGCTGTTAAGAGGTGATGCCTAGGAGCTGGGCCTCGATATCAATTAACACTGGAAAGTACACACAAAATAATGAGATGGGACCTAGAGGCTGAAACTGTCCCCACAAACTTGGATTCATGAATGCACACATGTACACTAATCAAAGTTATGATTAGGATATTTTCATGCACAGAAAACTTTATTAATTAAATTTAGCCTATAATAACTTGATTAATATGAAATATAATATGAAAACTTGCCTTTCGGTTATGCTGCTGTCATCATCATCATCTTCATCATTAACGAATGCCTCAATCACATCAAAGAATGATACGAGGGCCTGCTCAAAGGTACTTAAGTCATGAAGCTCCTCCTGCCTCCAGCTCTGCCATATCACCAAGACCTGTTTACAAAGCATATTATTAGGTAAGGGACTAGTTTAAACATTGAAAAAAAAAAAAAGAAGTCTGGGATAATTATAAAAAACTCAAAATTTAGCAGGTAATATCAGTGTGTGCCACTTTCACAGCATAGTCCTATTAAAGCATTAAACACTGGCTTACTACTTGTCAGTGATTCATGGAATTTCACCATTCTATCCTCTGTCTTCTCATTCGCTGACTTACATTGTAGTAAGTTACCACATTTTGTGGCATTGAAGATGCTATATTTTTTCTCAAAGTAAGTTTCGAAAATTTACCTAGCACCTTGGGGGTCGAAGTTCCACTTATCTTTTTTTTCCAAAATTTAGACAAACAGAATTGAGGGAATGTCCTCGACAATGGAGCGTCTCGTTCGCCATAAAATATGGTAATCACTCCTGGTGGTTCACTAATTTTTCCCTTAAAATGCTGTTTAAACAGCAATTATGATTAAAATTATGATAAGTTACATGTTTCTACACAACATAACATATGCTGATAATGCTGCAAAACATTAACATTGAAGATTTGAAGGGAATTGGATGAGGCATTTACAAGTTATCATATGTAAAAAAATATCCAAATTTCTTCAATAAGAAGAAAATGGTAAATTAGAACATACAGGTCTCCCTCAACATTCACGTTTTCAACTTTCACGGGCTTCACACATTCGCGAATTCCCAACCGCCAAATTCCCAGCCACCAAATTCCCAGCCGACAAATCATATTTAAGTTTCCCGCCACCTGCGAGTCCCTACTACCCTCCCTCCAACCCCCGCAACTGGCAGCCAGCCCTCCCACCACTCAGTGTGGTGAGTGTTTTGTTTGTTCATTATTTGCTATTAAACTACAGTATAAATAATGTAAACCCATTCATGACTGCATATTGGAATGGCTATTCGGACAGGTATTAGACGGTGACATCATGTGTTTACTCTTGAACACTGCAAAGAATTAAACATTTCTGTTACAGCTAATAATAATAACAATAATAATAATAATAATAATAATAATAATAATAATAATAATAATAATAATAATAAAATATGATATAATTGAAGAAGGAAATTGTACAAAAATACGAGGGAGTGGTTGACACATCATCAGTGTGACTTTGTTTATGCTGGAGTGAACATTAGTCTCCCTGCTCTTCCAAACATTTCACAATAATTCATTGTGTTTGGTGCTTGTAGATTGAGTGTGACTGGAGTGGTAGAGGCAGTGATTGAGGCAATGGTATTTAATAACATACATGTTAATAATAATACATGTTATTAATAATATGTACTATTATTATTTATAACATGTTATTAAATACATACATGTTAATAATAATACATGTTATTAATAACAACATGTACTATTATTATTTATAACATATATGTTATTAAATACCACTGCCTCAACCGCTGAATTATTGTGAAATGTTTGGAAGAGCAGGGAGACTAATGTTCACTCCAGCATAAACAAAGTCACACTGACGATGTGTCAACCACTCCCTCGTATTTTTGTACAATTTCCTTCTTCAATTATATCGTATTTATTATTATTATTATTATTACTATTGTTATTATTAGCAATAGCAGAAATGTTCGATTCTTTGCTGTGTTCAAGAGTAAACACATGATGTCACCGTCTAATACCTTTCCTAATAGCCATTCCAATATGCAGTCATGAATGGGTTTACATTATTTATTCTGTAGTTTAATAGCAAATAATGAACAAACAAAACACTTACCACACTGAGTGGTGGGAGGGCTGGCTGCCAGTTGTGGGGGTCGGAGGGAGGGTAGTAGGGACTCGCAGTGGTGGAGGCATTGGTGGAGTCTGTGGTATTTAATAACCTACATGTTATTAACATACATGTTATTAAATAACATACGTTATTAAAGCATAACATGTATATATTTAGTACAATTTACGACGTTTTCATGTATTTTATGATTATTCATGGTTCAACAAGTTAAGGAAGCAGTATTGTAATATATTTCCCTACAATATATTGGGGCACCAAACATTCACAGTTTTTCAACATTCGCGAGGCTCTTGATCCCCTAACCCTCGCGAATGTTGAGGGAGACCTGTACATAATCCAAGGCTACTTCAAACATTTTGAAGAGACCAAAGAGACCAACATCCTAAAATACACAAGTACATTAACCCTTTCAGGGTCCAGAGGCCAAATTTCAAAGTGCACACCAGGGTCCAAGAATTTAAAAAAAAAAAATCTGTTATTTTTTCTTATGAAGTGGTAGAGAATCTTTTTATGAAGGTAATACAACAAAAAGTACGAAATTTTATGGAAAATTGACGAAATTATGCTCTCACAAATTTTGATGTGTCAGCGATATTTATGTATTGGCGATTTTGCCGACATTGACTCCCATTTTAGGCCAATTACATTATTCCAGTCGACCAAATTCTTAGCTATTTCACTAGTATTACTTCTATTCTATCGATTGAGCACAAGAAATCGCCAAGCCAACTGTTTCAACTACAAAATAAAGTGATCGGAAATTAGTAATTCGGCCAATTTAACACAAAGTTCAAAATATTCCAATTTCAAAATAGGGTCCAGAATAAACAATGTAGGTATTCCTGGCACTAAATTAACATTTCCTCTGTTCATCTGTTATGTTTTGAGGCTTTACAAATGAATTCTATTTTGATTTTTTATTCACATAATGAATTTTTATTCAAACCAAAAAATAGAACATTTCCTGTTATGCAATATTGTAATAATTGTATAAATATCATCACCACATTTGTGAATGTATATTAGACCCACCAGCTGGCGTGTATTAGATGTGTGAGGTCGTTTGTTTACTCTTGAACATCGGCAAAAATTTAACATTTCCTCTAATTTGAGCTCAGTTTCAAGCCATTTCCAGTGCTAAAACCAATCAAAATCATCTCTATTTCTGTAATATGTCTTCCACTCTATCAAATGAGACCAAGAAATTACAAATACATCTATAAAAGACACGAAAAAACACTGCAAAATCGCCATTTTAATTGAAAATCACGGTCTCAGTTTTTTCTCTCATTATACACTGTGTGCTGCAGGATTTGTTTTATGTGGTGCACACATACCACATAGATGTAGTATTCTCTCATATCTAGGCCCTAATGTACCACTCACAGCTTATCAGAGTGAGCTGAGCTCATGGCGTAGATCTACGATTTGGACCCTGAACGTAAAGCCGTAGATCTACGGCACGGACCCTGAAAGGGTTAAGAAAGAAGCCACTCAGAAATTGTGTTATCAAGTAATCAGCATGGGAAGGTTGAAGCTAATCAGATAAAACACTCAGAAATTATCTCATGAAAAGCAGTATTTAAATTTTCCAATTCTGTCCAAAAAAAGCAAACTGGGATCAATACAGGCCAAAATGAATCTAAATTTTTCTCTAAGTAAGACTGACTAGCTTTTAAGAAAGTATGAAAGTGAATGACAACTTTATTTTAATCAAATTTGCCAGTGGCAAAGTTTGAAGCCAATCAGAGAAAGCATTTTCAGTAACTGATCTGATTCCCATGAATCCAAGTTTTATAAAAAATTCAATAAAATTTCAAATTTACATTTACATGGGCTAAATTTATTGTATTCTTACAGAATGCAAAACCAATAATATTTGAAACCAATCAGAAAAAAATATTCTTTAGTTATTGAATAAAAACGCATACCTCCTATTTAAAAAATAAAATTTGCAAATTGCAACTTATGCCACCCAATACGATCATGAGTTTTATGTTCCGGAAACTATATCAGTGGTGAAAATTTTAAGCTCATCAGATGAAACATTCTCCAGTTATGACATGGACTACAATTCCAGTTTGTTTTACTATTTTACTACATCAAAAAATCTGCCTGCATGCAAGCAAAATTTAATGATTACTATCCTGGCCCTAAGATGCATCAGTCATTAAATATTGAAGATATTCAGGTGTAAACTGAAATTTATATAACGTAATTTAATGGGAATAGCAATGTCACTACTGTGGAACCTCAAATTTCGAACTTAACGCTTATCGAACTCTTCGAAAATAGAACCCTTTTTTCGAACCAACTTTGTCCCTATTATCGAACTCATCCCTATTTTCAGTCCGCTCTGTCCGCATCCCCACACAGACACTGTGAGCCAGTCTGGTTTTGTTGATGCTTGAGTGAACACTAACTTGAGCTCTCATTCAAACATTTTACAATTATTTCATTGTGTTTAGTACCTGCGAGACTGTGAAATAAGCTACAATGGGCCCAAAGAAACTTGCCAGTGGTACCCCTGTGGTAAAGAAAGTGAGAAACACCATAGATGTGAAGAAGGAAATAATACAGAAGTGGAATGATGTCCAAATGTTTGTGGAGAAGTACCACCCTGAGCAAGCTGAAACAAGCCATCTTTGCAACAAGTTCAGTGACAGAACCATATCCCATTTTAGGGAAATCTTAAAGAGTTGCCAGAAACAGAGGACTGTGGACAGTTATTTTGTGAGACAGGGGTCCAGTGACTCTCAAGCTGGTCCTAGTGGCATTAAAAGACAGAGAAGGGGAGTAACCCCAGAGAGGGCTTTGATACCTAAAGTCCTTATGGAGGGGGAATCCCCTTCCAAACACTAGCTCCAACTCCCTCTCTTCTCCTCCCTATCTTCCAGATGCCATCACCAATCTTCAATAAAGGTAAGTAAAATGTTATTTTATATGTTTATTTAAATTTATTAATACATAATTGAACACTATATTTGTTGTGTGTATGTAAAACTATAATTAATCTCTATAAAATGTATTTTTTTGTGAATATTTTTGGGTTTCTGGAACGGATTAATTGTATTTCCATTATTTCTTATGGGAAATATTGCTTCGCTTTTCAGACTTTTCGAATTTAGAACTAACTCCTGGAACGGATTAAGTTCGATATTTGAGGTTCCACTGTATTAGACACATAACATGGTCTAAGCTACACCTACTTATCTGTATTTAGCTCTCCACCATTATCAATTTACGAGACGCTTTTTTTGAATGTTTTATGTTATGCCATGGAGAGTTTTGAAAGTTATGGCAGCTATTCCACAATTCTGGGAGTGGGTTTAGCAATATTGGTCATAAGGTACGTGAACATGCCAAGAGTCTGGTCCTTATTACTGTACACAAGGCTTGATAATTTGAAGCCAATTGGATAAGGCATTCTAGAGTTATGAGCAAAATAAAATAAAAAAAAAAGTTGAAAAGAAAAACAAAATTCAGGAAACCTCTTAAAGGTCCTCCTTCAGGGATACCTAATTAATAATTCATTAAGTTTCACAATTATCTGAAACACTGGAATAAGGAGAAACAAGGAATTTAACATTTATGGTTGTAAAGATAATAAACATGAATATAATATTTATGTACTAAACCTATACAAGAAATACCTTTATTCTTTTTCTCCTTATGGGTACAATATAGGAATTAAACTAGTAAATATTTTGTATAAGTTATTTTGAAAACACTTAAAAAGATACTACTTGCCCGTTCATAAACATTTCCAGCAGCTATATTGATGTAATTGAAGAATATATTTTCACTAGAATACTCTTTCAGTGCTTCGATATTCTCTCCCCACAACTGGAAAATATCCTCTGCTGCTGCAGAAACCTGTGGTTCCAGGGCTGACACTCCATGCTCCACCTGAGGACAGGTGCTGAAGTCAACACACTGTCTCATTTATATGTACACTCTACTTGGGTATTGTACAAGTGAAAATTGATGGTGAATATTACAAACACATTTTGAACATTTTTTTTTTAATGACCCAGCCGTATCCCACTGAGACAGTGTGACTTAAAAAAAAAAACAACGTTTCTCTTTTTAAGTTTGGTAATATATACAGGAGACGGGTTTACAAGCCCCTTGCTCCCGGAAAGGGGCTTACGGAGGAAGAATTCTGTTCCAATTTTCCCATGGAGACATTTTGAACATTCTTTCTTTCTTCTTTCAACAAACCAGCCGTATCCCACCGAGGCAGGGTGGCCCAAAAAGAAAAACAAAAGTTTCTCTTTTTTAAATTTAATAATTTATACAGGAGAAGGAGTTACTAGCCCCTTGCTCCTGGCATTTTAGTCGCCTCTTACAACACGCATGGCTTACGGAGGAAGAATTCTGTTCCACTTCCCCATGGAGGTAAGAGGAAATAAACAAGAACAAGAACTAGAAAGAAAAGAGCAGAAAACCCAGAGGGGTGTGTGTATATATATGCTTGTACATGTATGTGTAGTGTGACCTAAGTGTAAGTAGAAGTAGCAAGACGTACCTGAAATCTTGCATGTTTATGAGACAGAAAAAAGGACACCAGCAATCCTACCATCATGTAAAACAATTACAGGCTTTCGTTTTACACTCACTTGGCAGGACGGTAGTACCTCCCTGGGCGGTTGCTGTCTACCAACCTACTACCTAGAACATTTTGAACATATCTTAAGAAATCAGAATAAATTCTAATACTTGAACTTGAATACCCTATACTGACTTCCCAGAAAATTGGTAACTACATAGGGCTTTTGTGTTTCAAGTGCTCAACTGAGGCTGCAGAAACACTGCTCTGTTCTTTTAACTACAAATACTACTACTTCTACTACTACTACTAATAATAAAAATATTTTACTTCAGCATGATACTATGTTTGTACACAGATGGGTGACATTTAGCTGTGCATGCAGAAAGCCCATGATAATGCAGAGCATTCTGGGCAAGCTTAAGCCTCATTTAAGACTACAATGGCAATAACTAATTAACTACTTGTATGTAAGGACAAACTGTCGTATCTGAGTGCCTCCACAAAGACAGTGTTTATGTGTGAATGATGGTGTAAGTGTTGAATGCTGGTGAAAGTGTTTCTTTTCTGGGTCACCCTGCCTCAGTGGAAAACGGCTGGCGTGTTAAAAAAATATAAGGACAATAAATTTAGGATAATTTTGCATCAATACTTACATAATAATAGACTTCAGCAGCAGATATCTCACTGAAGAAATTATAAATCTGTTCCTGTGTTTGCTGGAGGGCTTGCATGAAGGAAGAATCCAACAAAACATCTTTAAAATTGTTCACACCGCCTGTTAAAAAAAAGAAATGACTTTTGCACCTTCTTCTTCTTTCAACAAACTGGCCATATCCCACCAAAGCAGGGTGGCCCAAAAAGAAAAACAAAAGACTTTTGCACCTGTCATACTTAAATAGCATTTACAATGTTTCAATAGACAAATCATAAAATGAATAATTAAATACATTTTAAAAGTTAAGCAAGAACCTGGCTTCAATGCTTTCATTTTTATCTATCCATGTTGCAGAGGCAGTTGTGATAATATTCCTCAGGAGACAGAACAAGTGTTTCCTGACACAGGTCTTAAATATACAGATGACGCGTGTATAGATATAACAGAGGCAGCATGCATGCCATCATATGTTTAAGAGGTATGAATTCAAGCCCATAATATTCTTGGATTTTTATGTGCACACTCAGAACAAATTTCACTTGTGTGTGAATCCCTATACTTGTACTTACAGCAGAAGACTACATATTACTATTACTATACTGTATGTACATATTATATTCAGAGAAAACACTAAACTGTGAGGGGTTACTTTGTGCTACATTACATGAGCGAAGGAGATGTAAGTGGAAAAAGAGGTGGCACTTAGAGGTGGGCAATTGCAAAAGGGAGGAGGTACATATTAGTGTTTAATAAAAATTGTATAACTGTGTTTCTAATTGATTTCCACTCATTGCTGTCAGAAGTTGGTGAACTCTTCTTGCATGCTTGCGTATCAGCTACAGGCATTTAACATTGAGTGTGGTTGAAAAGTGGAATGGGTTACAAGAGTATGTAATGAATGTTACAACCACCTACAATTTTAATAAGTTAAGTGACAGATTAAATATCAAAGAGTTTTGTTTATCACTACAGCGTCCTGACACGGGTCTTAGTTCCGTCAAGATCCTTTTAGCAGTGAAGCATCTGCTGACCTACTTGAGCTAGGTTAATACATAATTAAAAACAAGAGAGATCACTATGGTAATGTTATACGATGATACCCACCACAAGCTCACCTCTGCTCCTGTAACTACATAATAGGTAATTACTATGATTACAGATATACAGTAGGGCCCCACTTATATGGCAGGTTAGGCTCCAGGCTACTGCTGGAAAGCAGAACTCCATTTTTTCCATTTATAAATGCACATATATGCCAGATAAGAAGTTTACATTAACTTATATTAAGTTAGCAATAGACTAGGCATTAAAAACAATAAAATGTAAAATGCACACACAGTACACTCATTATTTACCTCAAAATATTTGTAGTCTTAATGTAGGGCAAAAGTTAAGTAGTATTTACTGTAAGAAGTCAGGTGTGGTTGCCCTCCTGGCCACCCCACCCACACATAATATACTACAATGCTTAAAGTGCCCTAGAGTGATAAAATGCATATACAGTACAATCATTACTTACCTTAAAATATTTGTAGTCTTAATGGTCTTAATGTAGGGTGAGAGGTGAAAAGTATTTATTTGTAGAAAGTCGTGTGGGAGGTATGGCATCCCGCCTGGCCACCCCACCCACTACGACATTTAAAGCTCCCTAGAGCGATAAAATGCATATACAGTGGTCCCTCAATAATCGTCCGGCCTGAAAGTCGTCCATTTTGGAAATAGTCCCGTTATTTCGTCTAAACATTGGCTCGCAAATGGTCTGTTAACTCGCTAATCGTCTTTCGTCCTGGATGCATACTCACCTTAACTACTGGGAACGCTTGGAAGCACTTGACTTGTACTCGTTGGAACGCAGGAGGGAGAGATATATCATAATCTACACTTGGAAAATCTTGGAAGGAATGGTCCCAAATCTGCACACAGAAATCACTCCCTACGAAAGTAAAAGACTGGGCAGGCGATGCAAAATGCCGCCAATAAAAAGTAGGGGCGCCATTGGTACACTAAGAGAAAACACCATAAGTGTCTGGGGCCCAAAACTGTTCAACAGCCTCCCACCAAGCATTAGGGGAATTGCCAATAAACCCCTGGCTGCCTTCAAGAGAGAGCTGGACAGATACCTAAAGTCAGTGCCGGATCAGCCGGGCTGTGGCTCGTACGTCAGACTGCGTGCGGCCAGCAGTAACAGCCTAGTTGATCAGGCCCTGATCCATCGGGAGGCCTGGTCATGGACCGGGCCGCGGGGGCGTTGATCCCCGGAATAACCTCCAGGTAACCACAGCTCTGAGCCGTTCCCAGCCAGTGTGCCTGCCATTGTTTACCAGTGAGCGACGGTCCCCTCACGTGTTCATATGAAATATTTCATAATATTCCATTCATTTTAGTGATTGCAAGTGCTAAATGATGATGAAAGTATTTTCTTTTTGGGGATTTTTTTTTCTTTTTTTGGGTCACCCTGCCTCGGTGGGAGACGGCCGACTTGTTGAAAAAAAAAAAAAAGTGCTAAATAAGCTACCATGGCTCCAAGGAAAGCTCCTAGTGCCAAACCTTTGGTAAAGAAGGTGAGAAATACGAATGAATTTAAGAAAAACATCATTGAACAATATGAAAGGAGCAAGAGTTTCAGCAGGAAGAACAACAGATCGCAGCTCAGAATCTTGCTGCAGAGGAGGAGGAAGAGATGGAAGAAGGTGCCTTCTTCAGAAATTAAGGAGATTTTTGCAATGTGGGGTAGGATGGAAAGATTTATGGATAAATATCACCCTGAGAAGGATGTTGCAAGCCATATCGGCAACTTGTACAGTGACAGAGTCTTGGCCCATTTTAGGGAAGTTTTAAAGAGACCCCAAAAACAGAGCTCTCTGGATAGTTTTTTTGTGAGACAGGACTCCAGTGACTCTCAAGCTGGTCCTAGTGGCATTAAGAAACAGAGAAGAGAAGTAACCCCAGAAAAGCACTTTGTATCTGAGGTGGAAACATAAACACAAATGCAGTTTAATGTGATCCTTTATTGACAACGTTTTGCCCACACAGTGGGCTTTTTCAAGTCATAAACAGATCTACCTGGGGTGGAAGGTACATGAGTATTTATAGTCAGGTTCAGAATGTTGAGTTCAGGTGGAGAATGCTGCATCTGATGCAGCATTCTCCACCTGACCTCAACATTCTGAACCTGACTATAAATACTCATGTACCTTCCACCCCAGGTAGATCTGTTTATGACTTGAAAAAGCCCACTGTGTGGGCAAAACGTTGTCAATAAAGGATCACATTAAACTGCATATGTGTTTATGTTTCCATTGTGTCGGTATTTTATACCATTTATTTTCATTGTACCTGAGGTGTTGATGGAAGGGGATTCCCTTTCCAAACAGTAATTCAATGTCTCTCCTCCTCCAGTCTTCCATACACTAAGAAGAATCGCCAATAAAGGTAAGTGTTATGCTGTTAATGTTTCATTCATCATGTGCCATTGTATTGTTTATGTACTACATCTATATTTCATGTAAAAAATTTTTTTGTTTTAATACTTCTGGGTGTCAGGAACGGAGTAATTGTATTTACATTATTTCTTATGGGGAAAATTGATTCGAAAATAGTCTATTTCGATAATAGTCCCACTTCCAGGAACGGATTATGGATGATAATTGAGGAACCACTGTACAGTACACTCATTACTTATCTTAAAAATATTTGTATTCTTAATGTAGGGTGAGAGGTGAGTAAATGGCAAAAAAAAATGAATAAATGAGAGAGAGAGAATGAGTAAATGAGAGGATGGAGCCACAGAGTACATAAACAGACAAACACAGCTGGTAGGTTGATACACATCCATTTCCATATTCGTAAAGCTTATATCATAATACAAACACCTTACATGTGTACTAATTGTCTCCACAGTGGTACAGTAGAATAAATTAAGACCAACACTTCCATTCTCCTGTAATTTGTAGAAGGAATGATGCTTTGACAGATAATTATTATTATTTTTTACAAATTATTATTATTACAAGTTATTATTATAATCATAATAAAAAAGAAGCGTTAAACCCACAAGGGTCATGAATAGCTATAGAAAGAGTGAAGGCATATGAAAGGAATAAATTTTTAGTTAAGTTACTGGTGTTTGACTAGAGAAAACGTAATTCTTCCGACAATGCAACCAACCGTTTCGTAAACAAATCTCATATTTATGTCAATTTTTATACTGCTGGTGTATGTATTATGTATATTATGCAATTTTGGAAAAAATATCATAGATGGATTAATAGAAATGTCTATACAGTGGAAAATCGAACGTATCACATATCGAACGTTTCGAAAATAGGACCATTTTTTCGGACAAACTGTGTCCCTATTATCGAACGCGCCCCTATTTTCGGACCGCCGGGTACAGGACCTGTCTGCCGCCCGCTCTGTCCGCATCCCCGCGCAGGCGCCGTGAGCAGTCTAGCTTTGTTTATGCTTGAGTGAACACTAACCTGCGCTCTCATTCACGCATTTTACGATTATTTCGTTGTGTTTAGTGCTTGTGGGACTGTGAAATAAGCTGCTTTGGGCCCAAAGAAACTTGCTAGTGGTACCCCTGTGGTAAAGAAAGCGAGAAACACCATAGATGTGAAGAAGGAAATAATACAGAAGTATGAGAGTGGTGTGAGACTTGTTGCTTGCCAGGATGTATGGGAAAAACAAGTCGACCATCGGTTCTATCCTGTCAAAGAAAGAACAAATCAAGGAAGCTGATGTTGCAAAAGGTGTTTATATAGGAAGTGGATGAGGTGCCTTCTTCAAAGATTAAGGAGATTTGTGCCAAGTGGAATGATGTCCAAATGTTTGTGCAGAAGTACCACTCTGAGCAAGCTGAAACAAGCCATCTTTGCAACAAGTTCAGTGACAGAAACATGTCCCATTCTAGGGAAATGTTAAAGAGGTGCCAGAAACAGAGGACTGTGGACAGTTATTTTGTGAGACAGGGGTCCAGTGACTCTCAAGCTGGTCCTAGTGGCATTAAAAGACAGAGAAGGGAAGTAACCCCAGAGAGGGCTTTACCTGAAGTCCTCATGGAGGGGGATTCTCCTTCCAAACACTAACCCCAACTCCCTCTCTCCTCCTCCCTATCT